ACAAAAGTTTTTCTACGATGAAAAGAATCAAAACATATTATGTACGTATAATATGTATTCATGTATAAGTCTTCAAAATTTATCGTAGATTTTAGTTTAAAAAAAAAAAGAGTTCAATTCGGAGTTAATTATAAGTAGGTAGATTCTAAAAAGATTATTGATGAGTTTGCTAAATTTAATAATAGAACTCGATTTATTTATTATAGTATTAGTTATTTATATGACTTTCAGATTAATTAACAATTTTTAATTTATAAAATTATCATAAGTAGGTAATGATTATTAATTTTAAAAAAGACGAACCTACTTGCACGCGAGTGCATCCACTGTCGTTAGTGGGAAGATAGGATACAAAAGGAAATTTAATGTACATCGGTAAGCAACGATAAACCATTGCTAACCAAAAAACAATTCTGAGCAGAGTTCAGTTGATAGTGATGCTTTGTTAAAGATATATTATGTGTCATATTATAGTAAAATAATTAAATAGGCATTACCTATATATTTTCTTTAATAATATTTGTTTAATATTGTACCAATTATCCCGTTTTTCCAATTTTCCCATGTTTTTTCACATTTGTTAAAAAACTCCAAGGAAAATCGAAAAATGATTTCTTTAAATTACCTTACCTAGAAAATTTTCTTTCATACATAAATAATTTCCGTATAAAAAAGAAAATTAAAAAATACTAAACATATTTGTAAAACAAAAATATTCTTCACTACACTTAGAATATATTCATAGATAAATACAAAAATTTAAAAAAAATGGATTTATTATTTCGATAATTTCTACAATTATTTCGTACAAAACCGACTTTTTTGTCGTTAAAATTGGATTCGCTGAAGTGAGATGTTTTAACAAATTATATTTATAACCAGGCCCGGGCCTACTCTGAATTTTGACCTAAAGCGGCCCATATACGCTCAGTTTAACTGAATTCTCGCCCGATGAAAAAACTGAACTGGACGTGTATAGCCTTAACTGAATGAACTGTCAGTTAACCGGATAGGACTGAGGCCTCGAACCTCAATCCAAATAACTGACGTTTCGTCGGACAAAACTGCATATTTACCACAGTTAATCGTTCAGCCTTGACGTCTTGAGACAGTTAAACTGACAGATAAACTGAGCGTATATGGGCCCCTTTAGACTCCGCCTTTGCAAAAAACCGTCTTAACCATCATGTCATACCATGATAATACTATCAATCTAAAATCCTATATTTGGGTACAGACATTATGGTATTTAAACATTAAAAAGCCACTCGACATTAATTCACATAACATACAACACTATCAACCTCACTAATCGGCAATCGGAAAAAAAAATAATCCGAAATAAAAATCCCAAAAATAACGATAGGTACCTAATATACTATCTACCTATTTAAAAACGTTTTATTTTTTGTAATAATTGTAGTATATTATATAATTTATATCTAAATGCGATACTTGATAAGGTGTATGCCGGGCGGTCTTTATTATTATTATCTGCGGTGTGTGGTATTTTCACTCGCTCGCCTGCTATCAGTCGTTGTCCACTATCTCTGTACTTTAATAATTTATCGGCTTTGTATCATTTTATTGGTATTAATCTCCTCATTTACACCTAATGAGTTCCTACATAGTAGATACAACAATAATTATTATACCTAGTTTACATTCAGCCCACTTCCGTGGCAGTGAGCAGGGAAGTGAACATGAAAATGGGCTGCGCGGGTATGTAAACACGTCACTCGCGCTGATCATGCTCCTCGCACTAACGCTGCCCGACGCTCCCGTCAAGAGGCGGTAAACTGAACAGCGCGAGCAGCAACATAACCGGCAATGGGATCAATCCGGTCAATTGCTGCTCGCGCTGCTATAATTAGCAGGGCAATGTAAACACTCACTGCCGTCGACGCTGTCACAGAAGTATTTTGAGAAGTAAATACGGCAGCGCGAGTAGCAATGGCAGCTGCTGAATGTAAATTAGGTATTAGATACAATTTGTTATCACAAATAATCAATTAATATGATATTATTATAAAATGAGTTTTGAGCTATAACTATTTAAAGTTTTGACCGGAGGAGTAGGGAAGCTTCTAACCCCTCCGTTTAAACCTTAAACGGTTATAACTTATAACTAGTGTAAACAATAAATTTGATATTAGTGTCATGCATGTCAAAACGTATAGAAAAATATACCTACTCTAATCGAATGTAGATTGGTACTTATATTAAAGGGTGGTCCCCCAAGCCGTCCTTGGATGTCGATTCAAACCATATACCGTATGAACCATATATCTATGGTTCACCAGTTATGCCATAGTTCACACAGGCAAAAAAAAAAAAGTAGGTAAACAATCCTTGCCTTCGTGATCTATCTTATATTTTCATGCATCTGTCATTTTCTATGGTCCCTACGGTTAATTCTTGTTATCACATTGATAGTTAGAAATTGATAATAATTAGCAACTTAAACCAATGAAGTAATTGATATACCTATGTATATAAGTAACTGGTATTTAATTTATGTTTACTTTTTATTTTACCGGTTTAATATATTAACATTTTGAATTTTACGTTTCAATAATTATGAATCGATTAAATGTACGATCACGGTGTTATATTGAATGCATTGTACCAGTTTGTGAAAATAAAATGAACCTAAAACCTAATTTAAGCTTCTTTTGTTTCCCTAAAGATCCAATAAGGTAAGGAAAAATGAAACTGATTTCAATTATTGCCTTTTCCTAAAACAGGTATAAAACTATTACAACATGTCAATAATATTACTAGTTTTGTTTTTATTACCAACAATTATAATAGCATATTATTAATTTATAATATGAGGACACTAGTTTCAAAGTGTACAATCTCCATGTTCACCAAATTTTCAGAAAACCAAAAAAAACGAATAACTTAATCAAAAAATGTTTTTTCTCCATGCTGATTTTTTTGAACTTTTCATATATTGAAATGTAAAGATAATTTACCAGTTTTATACTTAAAAAAACAAGATTTTGTTTTTAAGATTTTCACAAGAATAATGTTAATAATTATTAATCATTAATTTTAATATTTAAAAGGTATTAATAATAAACGTTAAAAATAAAATATTGTTAAGATAAATAAATAAGTAAATTTATTATACTGGAAAATTGATTTCATCTTCTATTACATAACATAATATGTCTTCCTCGACATCTGGTATTGCATTTCCCTCTATGACATATTTGTCAAAAATTAAACCATGATCATTTTTCCACTCATTTCCATAATGAGCAGTTAGTAAGTTATTTATATCAGTTTTCTTATTAGTGTTAAGAACATTCCTCATTGGAATTTTGGTGGGATTCATTTTACTAATGTTTCTTGCTTTTTTTGTAATTGGTTTTCCCAATATTCAAATTGTATACGCCTTCCCCGTGGATTAACACTACACCTTTTGAGTTTTTTGTGATAATCATTTTTTTCATTTTGGAAAAAGCAAAGTGCACTGTCCTGAAGGCCTAACGAACTTGCATGTTTCAGTTTTCCAGTCATAAATTTCAACATCCTTTACAACTTTCAGGACAGTTTCATATTTTGAAAAAATATCTAAATATTCTTGAGGTTTCAAAATTATTTCTTTCTTTTTGCACTCCACTTCGATGTGACCAAAGACACGATCAGGAGGAATAAAAGAGTATCCTCTTACTGAGTATACAACTTCAATTTTTGAAATTACATTTTGTTTGGCGAGCCACTTGCAACACATTGAAATTAATGTGGTGTTTTTGTTCTGGCCCGAGCAACCATCACACATAAGCTTATTAGTATGAATACCAGTAAAATCTGACGATTCCAAAACTTGATGAATACAGAAAGCAATCTCATTTGAACCTTTATCGTATTAATTTTGAGTCCAACAGAAAGAGGTGACTGTATTGGGATTTAATTTGCTTTTAGAAGCGCTTCTCACAACAGTAAACCTATGATAAGTATATTTAATAATATTAAATATAAATTAAATTAATTATAATTTATAATATTATTATACTTGTCAAAAGAGATTGTACTTTTTGAAACTAAATGTAATTTTCAATCTTAAAAATACATTGGGGATTAACCATTTTGTTCGATAATAGTGAGTTGTTCGAATTCAGTGCTAACAATTGAATATTAAACAACATCTCTCTCAATTTTTATGAAACATGGAGATTGTATACTTTTAAACTAGTGCACTCATATATCTAATAATAATTTATATATCTACAAATAAATATATTGTTACCTAGGTACCTATGTTTGAATCATTGATTGACATAGGTACATTGACTGTAAACTACAGTATGCAGATCGTGCATTGGTTTAATGTAAACTAAACATATTGTAAAACCTAAATGCATTTATCAATATAATAATTAATTTAGATCTTCTATATGGATTGAAAAGTGTGGACTTGACAAAAATATTGATGTTTCCAAAAGACGTTATCGAGTTTGTGCAAGACATTTTGAGAATCATATGTTTTTAAATGACTTAAAAAACAGGCTTCAACCACATGCTATACCTACACTGTTTATTGGTATGAATATTAGATTTAATTTTGAAAGGAAATTTATTGTCTGTATAAGGACAGACTATTTAATTTTTTTTTAAATATAATATAAAATACTAATATTTTACAATTCTTTATGAGCAGATTTGATATCCAACTCACTCCCATCAACCTGTATAGACAATGTAAAAAATGATCTCGATAATAAGTACATTTTTATTTTCTTTTACATTTGGCATTTTAATAACTTTCTTAAAATATTATTTTACATTTTCCAGAAAATCTAATTTTTTAGAGCATAATATACAAGATAAACATTTTGGAGAAAATATCAATAATTTTTTTCCTAATACAATCAAAAAGTAAGATTCTAGGTATTTATTTTAATTTTATGTTTTGTTTATTCATATACCTACATATTCATAATATTAAACTTTTGTTAATTTTGATAAGAATAAGATATTAATAAATCTATTTTGAATCCTGATGATTTTTTTTTTTCAAATATTTAGCGCCCGATTACCTCATTATTATAACACTAAAAATTACTTTAAATAATACAAAATGTATAAGTAATTGTTCTATATTAAAAAAAAATATATATATATATATAAGATAAAACTATATAGTTACAATTAATTTTGAATAATTTATAATTTAATAAAATTAATTTTCTTTTGATTTTAATAATTCAATTAGATATTTAATTTTTAGGAAATCTTATGAACCTGTTTGCTTTGTTCCAAACTGTAAAGCGCCAAAAGATTTACCACTTTATAAATTTCCATTACACAATAAACAATTATTATATATATGGTTAAAAAGAATTGGACTGAGTACTTTATATGATATGGATTTATACTTACATATAACTATATGTCAAATACATTTTCATAAAGACTGTTTTGATGATAAAACTATACAATTAAAACCCAATGCAATTCCATCTTTACATTTGATTGGTAAGAATTTGTTACTAAATCAGTTCATATATATTTTTTTTTGTTTTTTAACTTATTCTGGGCCTTGTAGGTACATCAACAATCTTACTACTCCTCTCCATATCTCCTTGCCCTTAGCTAGTTGTTCTGCATCTCTTATTCCCAGGAGTTTGAGTGAGATCTTCCCTAACTAGGTTAATCCACCACTGTCTTGAATTGTTTCTTGTCCAGTTTCCATATTGTGATCTTATGCACTGTTTGGCCCTCCTCTTTCCATTCGTTATACTTCACTATTATATTAGTTATTATAAATACTTATAATTATTCAATGGAAAATAAAATATCCATTAGTTGCATTATGACTTGAATTACTATTATAACGGTTATTAACCATGGTTGATTTAATGGAAATGTAAATTGATATCATTTTTTACATATCCATTTAAAAGTTGAAATGAAAATGAAATTATACAATACTATAATTTTATTTTCATTGGATTATTAGATTTATTGAATCTATTCAGGACGTTCTCAGAAAAAAGTTTCGGGAGGTGTTTTTGAAAATCAGAACAATAATTGAACATTAAAATGGAAGTAAATAATCATATAAAAAAACCAAACATTCGGCAGGTGTTTAAACACCCAAATCAACCCTTTGCGTACATACCTGGATCTAATTTTTTTTATCTAGATCTAGGTAGGTAATATTCAATTATATTTGAATTATTACTATATTTTGTTTGATGGAATTTGACAGGATGTTTTACATTCCAGTTATCTTGTATGCTATCTACTAATGATTATACTATGTCTTATGCTTTCTTGCATGATAGTATTTAAAATTTATTGACCCTGTCTACATGCTATACCTTCTCAATATAATCTGTGATTCTCATTTGATACGGGAAGTTTTTATTTTAGATTTGGAGTATACAGAATTTTATTTAGTTGGTGCATTAGAGAGATTGTTTTTTTCGATTTTCTTAGGAAAGAAGAGAGCTTTTCTTAAAGAACTTTTTTGTTACATTTTTAATCTAATTGGTGATTAAGAAAGTTGTTTTAAAATTTTATTTTGCTTTTATCACATTTTATGTTTAACTGTAACTTGTAATTTATTGGCACAATGACAGGACCATGTATAAATACTTTAAGTATATGTGTACCTTCTATATATCGCTGTAAACTATATACTGCAGTCTGAATGTTGTCAGTAGCGGCATACCACAAGATAGCCAATATTCCTATATATTTGTAGAAAATTAATAATTAAAAATATGTTTATATACCTTTTAGATTATTCTGGACCTCCTGACAATTGTCTTACTACTTCATCATACTTTGAAAATCCTAGTGAGTAATTATTAAACTATAATTATAATCATAATTTTTTTTAAATATCTTGTTTTCCTTAAATAAAATTGCTTTGTAAAACAATCCATATCAAGATTGTTTTACCAACTATACTTTTTACATTACTTATTTATTATATAAATATTACGTTTGTTTTTCATTCTATATTTTCTCCGCATTATTCAAATTTTTACCTTATAAATTATTTAGCAAAACAATAGTGTTAAGAATAGGAAGGCTTCCAGTAGGCCATCTGACCAGAATAACACTAAAAAAAAAAATAATATAGTACCTAAGAAACTAATTACATAAAAAATTATTAACTAATATACAATACGTATTTTAGAAGAAAAATATTTTATCCTAACAGTATTTGTACAGAAAATATATCATCAGAAATTGGGTACGAACATATTTTTTTAGAAGCGTGTTTCGGTAGAAAATATCAATAAAGGTGATAACAATGTTATCTCGCATCATCTGTTAACCGCTGAATATTGGTTTCTCTACTATGGAATACTGTTATATAATATAGTCTTCATTTTTTAATACTCTATGTTAATTATCTTTATTACAGCCATAGATATAAATATTTCCATTATCCATACCCATGTTGTGGCTTGCCTTTTTAACAGCTCGTTTTATTTGTATTTAATACAACTAATTTTCTAACTAAATATGTTTCTAATTAATTATTTTTTGACAAATTTATTTTCGAACAAAAAACTTTCAGTAAAATATTTTTCTAGCACTTATTTTTGAATAAAATGCTTTTCTAGTCAAATAATTTTTATAAATTTATTTTCGAACAAAATATAGGTCACCTAATATATTTTGTTAAAAAAAAAAAAACAAAGAGGAAATATGTTAATATTTATAATTTCTTTGCATTACACAAGTGATTTTCATTAAAAACCATAAATTACGTGGTGCTGACTGAGTAATGAGTACCATGGATTAGATTAGATAAAATCACAACTTTTATTAATAATTTTTATTCAAACTTGATTTTTTCATTTGAACAAATCTTTGAGTTGCTTTTCTGTTAATTTAAATTATTTTTCATTTAAGTTATGAGTACTACTGGCGATCGTACATGGGGATGGTTGGGTAGTACTGAACAATTTGGAAGAGATGCTGAATCCAACGAGTTTGTAGTTATACCTAAATCACAATTACACAATGATAAGTATACGTCCTCAACTCAGGCTGCTCATTGCATAATATATGCTGAAAATGAAGAAAAAATATTTGGTATTTACAATGCTCGAGCAGCAGTTCTTGTAAGTCATAACATGAAGAAGTGTCTTTATTTGCTTTCTTGGCGGGCAAAATAACAAAACTTTTAGAGTCCCAACAGTACTTTGATTCTAATAAGACTTAATAAAAAAATATATATTAAATTATATTAACATGATAACTTTCACTGTTTAATCGAGAAATTATTTGATATCTAATTTCCAGACACAATTCGTTCATACTTGAAAATTTTATAAAGATTTAATTTTTTTTTTTTTACTTAATATAACTTTACAAAAAATATATAGAAAAAATTGCATGAAATATTTAATGTCATAGTAATTTAGGAAAATAATTTTTGTTAATTTTTGAAGTCTATTAGTTCTATAGTAGAAATTCTAAAAACTAATTTTTACTACATTGCCTGTTAAAAAAACAGAAATAGCAAATGCCACTATAGGGTCTTCTCAAGATGGAAATGTTCTAAGTATGTATAAATAGTGTATATTTTATTTATTTATTAGATGCAATTAAGATATGATGGTTATTTGGGATTTCCTGGTGGATTAATTGATTCTGGTGAAGATATTATAAATGCTGTTAATAGAGAAATGTCTGAAGAAATGAACTTAAATACTTGTATACATTTAGTCAGTTATGATGACTACGTTATATCACATTGGAGTGAAAAAAAAAAGATAGCTTTACATTTCTATAAATTAAAAGTTACTATGCCTCAACTAATTGAAATTGAAAAACGTGCTTTACTTGCACGAGATTATGGAAGTGAAGTAATTATATTTACTACCTATATCATATTATATATATTGAATTAAAAACTTTTTTTATACAATTTAAATAGGTGCTTGGTACAGTTAGGGTCCCTTTGTATACATTGGGTGACAATTACCGCGGATTTCCAGCATTTTTGGAGCACAAATTCATCGGTTGTTCACGGGACCAACTTTTAGCGGCACTTTCTTCATTAAATATTTTGACTGTTGAAGAAATAAATCTTGCTTTAAATACAAAAAGTAGTAAATTATAATGTATTTATTTATGCGTAATATAATAATTATTTTGTTTTTTTTAAATTAAATTCAATAATACAGTTTGATGCTAAGGATCAAATGTCTTAAATGAAACTGGATGACATTCTAATGTATTGAGGTTCATTAAAACACATGTTTGTGTTGATGAGAAAGACGGCACGCTTATTAGTCTTGTAGGGTTACCTAAAAATAAAATGTTTTTAATTAAGGAATATGATAATTATTACATTTTTTCTAGTATTATAATTAAAACACAAATATTACCATTGACATTTGTCTTTAACGATGTTTTAAATGACTGTTGATTTGATACAAAAAAAACATCTGGCATTTCTTTTATTATAAATGGATCTTGGCCTTCAAATGGATAACACGCTAATAAAAATAAATTATGAATTAATACTCTAAATGATTTTTTATTTTCCAATAATACCTCATTAAGCAACGTTTATTAATACAAAATGTATTATTAAATTCATAAAATCAAAAAGATATGAATTCAAAACAAAGTTTTTGATTTAATTTTCTGTAACTTAGGTATTTAGGCCGAATATTAGTTAATATATTAGTTATCTACAATTAAAAATGGCGCAAATGGTTAGATATCGTAGCTATGCTTGCAAAAAAAGAGGTTATTGTTCTCTATACCCCTAAGAAAAATAAATGTCATTATGCCATTTTGCATTGTTATTTATATTCTAGGGGTATGATATAATGTGTATACAATGTAAGCATGTGTATGTATGTCAATTTGTTCATAAATTAAACAACAAAATACAAAGTATGTGTAGACGGTCTCTAATAATTTAATGAATTTATGGATGTTGCTGATCAAATTGAACACAAAAATAAAAAATTTTAGTTCGAAGATTAGATCAAGTGAAAGTATAAAATGAAGTTTGCGGGCTCCAAAAAGTTGAGATGAGGGCGAAAAAGAAAGCAATTTTTAAATTTATAGTTCTAAACTGATGTAAAAATAAATAAATCATAAAACAAATGGGTATTTTAAGAAAAAATACAATACTGGACTATGATATAAAAGTATAGATGTTAAATTTTTGCCATGAGTGCTTATAAATGACGTAGTTGTGAAAATCCAATTAAATTTAGAATGGTCTAAACAAAACAAAAGCTGTTAGACTTTTAAACAAGTTATTATAATAATAATAATAACAATAAAGACAATTTTGAAACAGGTAAATTACTATAATATAGAGTTTGGACCAATTATAAACATTTTTTTAATATAAGTTAATTTTTTTTTTTTATTTTAGCAAGATATTTGCAGTCACAATACGATCAATTCATTTGTGAGCTTTAAATATACAACTATAAAATAACACTTACGAATTGTATCTGGTGCAGATGGTATTTGATGCCCCCAATCCAATATTTTATCCATTATTTCAATGGGATCTTCTAAATTTGTAAATCTTAAAACATCTTGTATATTTTGACCAGATGATCCAATCATCAGTCGACCTTCAATTTCAAACTGATTTGGATTTGTAACTCTATGTAAACCTGAATATTCTGAAGCCTATAAACAAATTAAATAAATCCTAGAGTTTGTTTAATTTTACTAATGTTTAGTTATTAATTTGTAGAAAGCAAATTGTATCCATCTTTAGATTTTGAATTTTACTAAGATGTAATTGTTTTTTTTTTTCGGTTAGTAAACATGCTTTGATTTTATCATGATGTATTTTACCGATGCAGATTTTTTCTATATGATAATTTATATACTCCTAATAGGTACTTTTTCTAAAAAAACAGTAAATGGAAAAAAATCTGAATGCTTTACTTACCATCAAACTTACCAAAAAAATATAGAATTTTTGCTTGGTAATACCTTGAAATACTTTCAACAGTTCATACATTTAGATTCTGAGCACAACAAAGGATCTATTAGTTTTACTACATTGTGTTTTTTTTTTTAATGTCTGAAAAAAACTTTCCTACTAGAATCTTGACGTCTGTGAAGTAGGCCCACCCACTTTAACATAGTGACTCAAAATCTTCACCAATAATTTGGGAGTTACTCGTTTATATGAGCTACAAATAAAATAAGAATGAGTGGACCTAGTTTACCCACGTCGCTCTAAATTTTCAAAATACATACCAAAAGAAGTTTTACAAAAAAAGATTTTCGAATTTACTTTCAAAATTTGTGAATCAACCCATTACCCAAAACACTAACTTTTTGATCGTGAAATTGACCCACCCACCCATCTTGCCTTATAACTTTGAAATTGGTATCAAAAAATTGCGTGTTATTTGCGAGTAAGCTGTTTGTAAAATATTAATGGATGGTTAAATTCACAATTTACGAATCACTCTTTTTTCCTATCAAATCTATTTCCATAATTCGTTTGAAAAATTGAAATTTTGAAAGTGAACTTGCTTAGGATTGAATTTTTAAGTAGATAAAAGAAAAACCTACTAGAGGCAGGGTTAGGATTTTTCCTATGGTAGGCCACTAATATTGGAAGTCAACATATATTAGGACAGATCCTCTTATATATTTCCTTTCAGAAAAAGTGCTATTAATGTAAATCAGAGCAAGATTTCTGGTAAAAAAGTTATCCACAGATAAAAAAATATAAAATAAATAAATTTCTTTATAAAACCATAAGCTATTTGCTTCACTCAAATCTAAAATTTTTTATTTAGTCTGGAATTAAATTTTTAAAGTCTTTGACCCTTCTCCACTTGAAAAATTCTAGTTATGTTACAGTCTCAGTGAGCAAGTGTTTTGGGGATAGTGGTATTAAGTATTGTACCAAGAAATATAAAATAATATATAGGTTTATATATAAGTTTATAATATTACAACCCATTAGTTGATGTCAAACTTGAAGTATCAAATAATTAGAGGAAAACCTTTTTTTTTTACTAGCCGCTTTATTTAAATAAATTGTTGATAGTAAATATCAGCTTATAATATTAGCGTATTTATTGCTTAAACATATTTTTTTATGAACCAAATATTAATAAAATTCAGCTATATGTAAGTACACAAAAAATGGACGATAATATACTTACTCTATAGCTGCTAAATACAACATCAATGGTTATTTTTTAGAACTATCTAAAAGTTAATTTATATCATATTAATATTATCATCTCTCTGCAAAAGTATAAAACATAAGATATAAATAAACCACAGCTATGCTAATTAGGAAAACCTTACCCCAGCATTATATCTATATTTTAAAACTATTTACGACTATTCTTAATTTTTGTTCATAATACTTGATAAAAATTCTAATTTTAAGTATTAAGTTGAATAAAAATTTCAAGGCAAGCCATTTCAGAAAAGGCTATAATTTATCTAGATCTGCCATTGAAGGAAACTGGTTCTATTAAAAAAAAATTGAAGAAAATATGAATCAAATCTAAAGAGGTAATGATTAGTATCAAAAGTGATAAAGTAGTCATTAACACAGTAAAAGTAAAAAACTTCATTTACCTACAAAGTAGAATAACAGAAGACAGTTGATGACATGTTAATTAGATAACATATAATAGCGCAAAGGAAAAATGTGAAACAAAATTATTTACCATAAATAACATTGAATGGAATACAAAGGCTTAAAACAACAAAATTCTGCTGAAAAGCATAATACTTACTTTGGGAAATAAGCATTTGTGAAATGCTTGTTGCGGCAATGTTCTATCAGTTGGATCAAATTCTCCAGGCATAATTTGTACATCAACAGTTGACTATAAAATTAAGAATGATATTAAAATGTAAATTGTACTATGTACTAAAACACTGTCTCTTACAGCTAATTGTAATAATATGTCATCTAATTGTTTAATTGCTTGTATGTCTCTAGGAAAATCATCTATCTTGTCACGATAATTTGGCTTTTTCATTGGTATGCTTCTTATGCTATTTCCTATTTATTTTTTTTAAATTTTGTTATTAAATATAAAAATGTGTAACAAATAATGTATACATCTTTAAATACAATTACCAGCTATTACAACTTGAACAATTTTAGAAACTTTGTTGTTTTCCTCTTCATCACCTAGTAAACCGTAAATCCAATCAACAAATAATTGCACTTGAAAATGAGTAGCAACATTGGTAGCTAATTCTAAACCACTAATTAATACTAAAAACCTATATAAATAAATAATTGTATAATATACTTTAGTAGTGTATGAATTTATGCTACAAACTATTAATAATAACAATGAAACCTGTCATCTCCAGAACTAGGATGAGTGAGTTTTGTAGAAAGAGCTAATGGTGTAGGCCAACAAAAGTCATAAACACTAAAATTTCCACCATCTTGAGGAATACCTTTTACAGCAATAATACATCCAGTCATTATATTATTTAAAGATAAACTATTATCATTTAACCCATCATCTAGTACCAAAGGTACTCTTTGTAATTCATCTTCTAATATTACTTCATCTGTGTCTGAAACGAAATGAGTTCTCGGAGGTTGAGGTATCAAATTGTTCTAAGAGTAATGTCAAAAAGATTATTATTAAATTAAATGATTATAAATGATATTAATGATAATAAAAAAAAAATTACTTCTTCACTAATTTCTTTTAAAATACTAGGCTTTAGTTCTTGATGTTTAAATAATGTACCAATGATTATGCACTCTTCGCCTATTTTATCATGTAATTCTGATAGTTTATAAACATTACAGCTTTCACCTAAAGAAATATCAATACAAATTAAAGGAATATAAAACAAACAAGATTTAATGTGCCTATTATATAAACCAAAAAAAAAAAAATAATAATTTAATGAAACTATCATCTAAAATAACAAAACTTAAAAATTTACACTAAAATTTAAATTTGATAAAAATATACATAAAAAGCCAATTGTGTTTTGCACTATAGGTAGACCACTGTATTAGGTAGAAAATTTTAAAGAAGTATGGATATAGAGTAATTTAATTTATTTACGGAAAATAATGAGAAATCATTGCAATAATAAAAACCAAGGTAATCTACAAAAATAAAACAGACATTTTTTAAAATTGTATAGAAATATTGGGAATATAGAAATTGTTTTCAAATAAAGTACCAAAGAGAGAAAATAAACATCATTTAACAGCTCATTTAAGGTACAATTATATAATATCACAATTAGAATATGCCTCTCTTATTTGGTTCTCAGATAAAATTTGTGCAAGTCAAAATTTTGAAGCAGTTCAAAATCGTTTTTTCTGTTTTGTATCATTTAAATTAAATTTCGAACGCCCAAGACATACTGAGTATAATAGTGTATTATCATATTTAAATTTAGAATCATTAAACAAAAGAAGTGATTACCTTCACTAAACATTTTTATCAAAATTATTAAATAATTCCAAAGATTGTTGTCCTTATTTGTTGTCACAATTAAATTTTCGAATAAATATTAAGTCTAGAAATAATTACTGTTTTTTAATTAATAATATTTTTAAGAATTATTTATGATTTTTACCTGCTAATATAATGATGGTCATAGAAAATACTAATGAAGTAAATTTTAGTTGATTGTATATTAAGTGTTATAAAAATATGTTACTTTAACTTTATATTTTGTTATATTAATGAAAATTGGATTTTTAATATTAATTTGTACTAACTACCGGATTTTAATGTTAGTCTTTATACTACACAATGTATTTATGCAGTTTTTTCCGTTAATAAATAAATAAATAAATAAATAAAATAAAATATAGCATGAAAAAAAGTAGCATTTTACTAACCGAAAAAAGTTTTGTGAGAAAAAAAATATTTTAACTAAGTAATATTTAAAATGTATAGAATTCTTTATTGTTAAATTATAATTTTTAATTAAAAATTGTATAATTACCCCATTTGTGCTGTATTTTTCCAATAAGAATATTTCTCATTTGATCCAGTCTATAAGCATATATATGTGCAAACTGTTTAGTGAAATTAACATCCTTCATTTGGAACAATGAAGATAAGTCCATATAGTTGAATGGAAGTCGTTCGAATTCCGTTTGACCATAATTGCCAACGAGTTCAGGCATTTCAATAGTTACTTTTTAGTTATTAAAATAATAATTAATTTTAGTATTTTTCTAAACAAATAAATTTCACTATCATTTAGTCAATTAAGGTATTAGGTAGTGGCTACTAGACTCTAAACGCCAGTAGCATAATTTAAATAATGTCTAGAGTTTTTGTGGACTGTGGTAAGTTTGCAATTATCAGAAAAAAAAATGACAAATACAAAATTATTATCTATAAAAATTGCAAATGAGCGGGAAATACAAGTTGCTAGATGTTAGGAACGGAGTTTGTAGAAGTTGTATTAATCTATGATAAAATGACACTATAATATTATAAATTCCTTGAGTTTATAAAACATCAATAATAATAAAATTGGAAAAAAATTATCCCTGATAAGAATAAAAATTTAATTGATAACCGGAACAGGGAAGTTTATCCATTGTTTATGTTTTTCTTACGCCTAAAATGTGTGTTACATTCTGAATTAAATGACTAATTATTTTCTTGTACACGATCAATTGTATTTTAATAATTATGATCACATAGATCATACAATAGTAAACACTCAAATTCTAACACTTGTTCATACATGGAGACCAATTTTGCTGAGATTGAGCATAGAGCCATCGAGTACCTAAACCACAAACAATGGAGCAACGCGTTCTTCTGTTTTGACCAGCTATTAGATAACGCAGTAGCCAAAAGTCTTCCAGCAGAACGTTTCGTTGGTTACCTATTGGGTCGATCCCAATGCAGTTTGGAACTGAAAAAATACGATGATGTCATCCATGATTGTCGACACATTATATCTATGCTAAAAGACGACGAAAATGCATACAGCTCACGTGTACGCCGGAACCTTGTCAATGCACTGTCTGCATTGAAACGATTTGGAGAAGCAGAACAAGCTGCCTTAGAATGGGTGGTGAGATCAGATAACAGCAACGAGGCAAAAAAAATGTTGGACACTGTACGCTTAGTTTGGAGTATGTCAAAAGAAGACATTCCTACACCTGTGCTATCATTGGAAGATCAGTTAAACCAAATTAATGAGGATCTGCTATTTGGAGACAGACTTGATTCGTGGATTGCCACAGGGGTTAGAGAACAAAATAGAAGGAATAGAAAACATCCAGTTGAACTTGTTGATGATGAAAAAGTGGGTGGTCAACTATATGAATCTTCTGGTAGTGAAAATAATGGTATTCAAAATGTTGAAAGAAGCAGTAAATTCTTTGAACAATTTAACGGAACTGGTAAGCTAACCATTACAACATATGGTTTCTGTTTTACAACTATTTCAGACATTATGTTTTGTTTAGGACAAGAAAATTCTAATACAGCAAAACATAATGGTGAGTCATATGATTTAAGAACTAATTATCAATCAAAAGCCACTGAAGTTTTCCAAGAACCTAGTAAGTTATTTATTGACTAAAAAATTTAATTTAGTATTTTTCTATATAGAAAATTATTGATATTATATTGAAAGTTAAAGGCACTGATCAAGCCATTGCTAAGGTAAAACAACTTATTTAAAAATCTTTAGATAATAGTAAAAAAATGTGCTATTATCTATTTAGACCTACCAAAAGCATTTGACATTGATCGTAGTATACAACTATATAAGTTAAAAGAATTAGAATTACATGATAAAGCTTTATAGTTCTCATCATAATTACATAATAGAAAACAATGCGTTAAAATACATGTGTTTTATTAGTTTTTTTATGTCTAGTAAAATGTGGTATATAACAAGGAACAGTTATCGTTCCCATTGTTTTCAACATATAACTAAGTGGTATTCACTTATTTCCTTTAAAGAACCGATTAATTTGTTATGTCATGTTCAGGTGACTAATTAGATAAGATATTTAATATAATAAGAATAGATTTAAAATTAATTAAAAATTATTTGTTTAAATAAAACATGTGTTGTTCCTCATGCCTTAATAGATATTGAATTACCTACAGAAACAAACAAAAATAAAAACTCACAATGATTACTGCAACTGTTGTTGCAAAGCAATAAGTGTAGAACATAATTTTAAATATTTAAGTATTGAAATGAATAGTAATATGAGATGGAAGAACTAAATTGATCTATTAATAAAGAAACTTGTAAATATATATATATATAAACAGTGTGTTTCACTCAAATGGTAACACAAAATATTTCTAACCAGTGACCTTGGTTTGTAATGGGGTTTTCAAGAGAAGATAGGGAATATTGAAATACACATTTTGTATGGATTTTCCAATTTCTTATACTTTCAGTGTGCTTATGCACAATAAAACTTGAATTTTTGAAATGGAAACATCTGTTTCCAACACTTAATTTAGATAAACCATGATTTTTCGAAGAACTTGAATAAATAAACATTTCTCTTATCTTGAAAATTGGCCGAAATACATATCTCAAATTTTCAATTTAAATTATTGATTTTTTTAAAAATAATCCTATGGTTTTTAAATTCCCATGTAGTTATATGTAATTTATTAGGTTTTACTGTCATAATTTCATATTTTTAAAAGATTATTTGTAATAGTTTACATACCTGGTGCCCATTTGTTGGTAAATTTTCTCTAAAATATGAAGTACCTATTTTATTGTAAACATTAATTGGTCATTAAATGAGCTTTATCGGTTGGCCAATGGATAAAACTTTTATCATACGCAGATATTTTAAATTATTCTTTTATTCCACTAAACGTTATAACATTTATAACAGCGATTCAATCATTCAAACCAAGAATTTTAATTGGATCATAACATTCATTTTTGTGTTCATATTTTTTTATCGTTGAGATTCATATAATACAAAAATGGCTAGCCACAGTGAAAAATTGGATATAGTTTTAATTTTTAATGATGACTGATGAGTAGTTTTGTAATAAATTATTTAAAATAAAATNAATTTTCGAGATAAGGAAAAAGTTTATTTATATGTTGCTTAAAAAAAATGGTTTATTCAAATCCAGTATTGGGAATAGGTGTTTTCATTTAAAAAAACAAAAGTTTTATTGCGCATGTGCACACTGGAAGGGTAAGAAATTTTAAAATCCATACAAAATGTGTATTTCAGTACTTCCTATCTTATCTTGAAAACCTCATTTCAATCCTAGGTCACTGGACAGAAATATTTTGTGTTACCATTTTAGTGAAACACATTGTATATGTCACATCCAATTGATGAAATTGTCCATTTCATGAAAAGTTATTCAGCCCATGAAATGGAAACCATTTTTTTCCACTTAATGAAATTTGTATTTATTTCATTAAGTGGATATCTTTTCACAAAATGTATACTAAAATTTCATATTTTTTATTATTTTTTACTTCATCAACTTTAATAAAATTTAATGTGGCCAGTTGCAAATTTCCAGATCCAAACCATCCTATTAATAGTCCTTGCTGGGTTCCTATATGAATTATATTATTTCTTTGATTTACAATAACACCAATTACGTTTACAGGATCGGAAGGTCCTCTGTCTGCTTCTGGTACTAGAATAATGGCAGTCATTAATTTTGTATTCCGGAATTTCAGCTTTCCTATTCTATATAAATAATTAAATGAAGACATTTGTTATTTGATATTTATAATAACTTAAGTATTTAAATTTTTAAATCTAATCTGTAACATTTTTTATCGCTACTTTCCTTTGTCCTACGTGAGATTCTTGACGTTGTTTTTCAGTTTCTTCAAATTTTTACATAAATCGCAAATTATGGCTTCTGCAGAATCAATTTCAACAACTATTTCTTTTTTAATATAAATTGAACAGATTGAATTTAATTAATTAATCTGTTGTAGTATTTTGTTGGTATATTTCTTCAAGCTTTTCTTCAGTAATCAATTTTTTAATTAAATTTAATTGCAAATTTGAAGAAGCCAGACCAATTATTGGTTCAATAATCATTTCCAAAAAGAGTTGTTATTAGTGTTATTGTAAATCAAAGAAATAATATAATTTGTATAGGAACCCAGCAAGGACTATTAAAAGGATGGTTTGGACCTGGAAATTTGCAACTGGCCACATTAAAGTTTATTAAAGTTGATGAAGTAAAAAATAACAAAGAAATAACATTTCGTGAAACAGTTGCTGTTTTATCAGAAGGACAAGAGTATTTAAGCTGTTAGTGTAAAAAAAAAAGTAATTCTAACCCTTGCGCATGTTTAAAAGCTAAACTAAAATATAATATGTCAAGACTGCAACTCATTGTTTAAATTAATTAATTAAAATTAAAATTAAATAAATCAAACCAATGACAATATAATATGAATTAAATATATATTATATTTTGTTTCACCAAGTGAATCGTCATTTGATGAAAAAAATTACACAATATGAAATTTTAGTATACATTTTGTGAAAAGATATCCACTTAATGAAATAAATACAAATTTCATTAAGTGGAAAAAGATGGTTTCCATTTCATGAGCTGAATAACTTTTCATGAAATGGACAATTTCATCAATTGGATGTGACATATACAGTGTGTTTCACTAAAATGGTAACACAAAATATTTCTGTCCAGTGACCTAGGATTGAAATGAGGTTTTCAAGATAAGATAGGAAGTACTGAAATACACATTTTGTATGGATTTTAAAATTTCTTACCCTTCCAGTGTGCACATGCGCAATAAAACTTTTGTTTTTTTAAATGAAAACACCTATTCCCAATACTGGATTTGAATAAACCATTTTTTTTAAGCAACATATAAATAAACTTTTTCCTTATCTCGAAAATTGGCCGAAATAATACAGCTAGTTAAAATTGAAACTAAATTATTTTATTATTATTAAATTTATTTTATTTTAAATAATTTATTACAAAACTACTCATCAGTCATCATTAAAAATTAAAACTATATCCAATTTTTCACTGTGGCTAGCCATTTTTGTATTATATGAATCTCAACGATAGAAAAATATGAACACAAAAATGAATGTTATGATCCAATTAAAATTCTTGGTTTGAATGATTGAATCGCTGTTATAAATGTTATAACGTTTAGTGGAATAAAAGAATAATTTAAAATATCTGCGTATGATAAAAGTTTTAAAATTTGTATTTATTTCACTAAGTGGAGATAAATAGTTTCCATTTCATGAATTGGATAACTTACCATGAAATGGACCATTTCATCAAATGTGTGCAAAATATATATATATATTAGTTCTAAAATTACCTAAACTATATAAATTTATTTAGCATTGGTAAAACCAAAAACGAATCATGGTATAATAGGTTGGGGTGATGTATTCAATAGTTGATATATTAAATCAAACAGTTACTGAAATTATTATATAGAATACACCTGATAAAAAATAAAAAAGCCTTACAAATTTTACTTTATTTAACAATCAATTTATATTAGGTACTTGTATATATAAATATGAGTAGGTAGAAAATTAAAGTTTAATTTTTTAAGAGTAAAACAATATTAATACATGTCTTGATAAATTTAAAGGTATAAAAATTTAAAATTTATTATTATTATTATTTTTCTAAGACAAATCTATTTTGCATTTGTATTAATTAAAATATAATACAAATTCGTTAAATATTTGTAGTTTACTTAATTAAATCATTTAACACAAAATATGATTTTTAGAAAAAGACAAGCAGACAGAATTGAAATTTCCAAAAAAAAATGAAATGAGATATTCTTGTACATATTGTGGTATATCATTTCATTTAGAAAATCAACTAAGAGCACACTGTGCTACTGAAAATCATCAAACAGTAATTATGTCTGATGAAGGTCGGGATTGGAAATGGCGACCTCCTCCACGAGGGTTTTCTTCTGAATGCTATACGTATGGAAATTTACTTAAAAACTTTTTATTTATTTTATTATCAATGTTTTTTTTTTTTTTTTTTTTAGTTTGTGTGAAGCTTTTTCAGAAGGAGAAGGAACAGAAAATGCATGCAAGTATGGTGCCCAGTGTGTTGAAGCACATGGTGTAGAAGAATTGACAGAATGGAAAGAAAGATTTGAGTACAGGCGAATGAAATTACAACGTGCAAGTGAAAATAAACTTTATGGAAAATCATATACTGAGCAGCTATTAGAAAGGTATAATGTTAATAAAATATATAATTTTAACAATTTGTATTTGAATTTATATTATTTTAATAATTTTGTAGATGGGTTCAGTCAACTAATCCAGAAAAAATCATGCGTGAAACTTTAGACTGTGTTGTTGAATCTCATGATTGTGATTTAGTAACTACTGTTGAATCCAAAACTAGCAATCGTGAATGGACATTTGTTTTAGAAACAACTTCTTCACTTCAAGCAGTAGCTTTACTACAAGATACCTATCGTAACCATTTTTCTTTAAAACATATTTTGGTTGATAGTGGCTTACAACAAGTTGCTTTTGATTTGGAACCACCTAATGATCAAGAATGGGTGTCCCAAGCACAACACCCAGTCTCTCAGTCTGTGTCTTCCAAATTACGACATCAAATTCAAGTTTATTTCACAACAAATATTTATGGAACCTTTAGACAGGCAGTAGTATTTGATTTTGGTATAGGTCCAGTTTTAGTTAAGCATCTTTGTGTAGATGTTATACCTGTAACAGATTGTGATAAAGTCAAAGAGATTCATCGAGAGTTGATATTGTCATCAATGGAACGATGGAACCTAACAAATTCAAATATAGTAGAGTTTCAATCTTCAATTGGTCCTCCTCTAGTTCAAGATGATAGAGAGAGAGAACAAAATTTATTATTAAATTATCCAGCTCCTTGTCCTTCCACCTTTTCTCTGACTCACACTACTATTTCGGAAAAAAAACTTACAAGGAATAATTACAGAGCAAGAATTCATGAGTTATTATATGTTGAAGAACTAGCACGTTATGAACAAGTATTTAATTTATATTTTTATTTAACTTTAATTTATAAATAATAATTTACCATCCTTTTTAGGTGGCTAGATATAATTTATCTGCAAAATTACAATTGGCTAGCTGCTATCTATTATCACCTAGTGGTGTTGCAGCTAGTACTGCAAAGTATGCTCATAACAATGAATTGTTTGCAATGTTACAACTTGGAACAGATGTATCAGAAGATACTTCTGCAGGGAGATTAATTTTAAATAATTGTACTACTGTTTATCTTTGTCCATCTAAAGGTAATTACTTTAAATTTGTATAGTATTATGATGATTATTATTTATATGAAACTTATTATTTTAGACTTCAAGTCATCTGATGGAAAGCGAACTGTTCATGAAGCACAAATTGAAGATAAAGGCAAAAACGTTATCTATCTCAGATTATCTGCAAATACTGTTACAGGGCTCGGTCTTAAAGCAGAATCAAATATTAAGTTTGATGTACAATTTCAATTAAATCGAATACCATACTGTGAATGGCATTATGCTATTGATCATATAGCTGACTTTAAAATAATCTTCCCTGATACATTTTTGGAACCAATTATACCCTGGAGTCCAAAACGACAATGGGTTGACATTATTGATAAAAAATTAAATATCAAGCAAAGAGAAGCTGTTATTGCAATTACGACTCCAACAAATATAAGCCTACCTCCAATACTAATTATTGGTTTGTACAAAACGCAAATTTTGTATAAAAGAAAAACTTATTATGTACTCTTTATTTTGTTTAGGTCCATTTGGTACAGGCAAAACATATACATTAGCTCAAGCAATTAAACAGACATTATTACAAGATAATACAAGAATCTTAGTATGTACACATTCTAATAGTGCTGCAGATTTATATATAAAAGATTATTTACATCCATATGTCGAAGAAGGACATATTGAAGCAAAACCATTAAGGATATACTATCACAAACGTTGGGTTTCTACTGTTCATAGTACTGTTCAAAAAGTAATAAATTCAAAGAAAAATATGCTTGAATAAATATAATTTCAAAACAATTATTAAAATATAAAATAATTTAAATTCATTGGAATTTTAAGAAAACTGATAGATATTCAATAAATGAATAAATGAATGAAATAATTTGCATTCTGTTTATACTAGAACATTGTAATAATTTTAAAATTTATATTTCATTTTCTAACACAACAGAACTAAAATTATCAAAATATAAATATACCTTTTTTATTTCATTAAAGCCTGTCCATAAATTACTTTTATACGTTTTTTGATTTGAAATTTAATAAAATGTGCTTGTTTTTTGTTACATATTATAGTACTGTATTTTGGATCAAAATGGTTCATTTAGATTACCAACACTTAAAGAAATTCTAAATTATCGAGTGATAGTAGTGACTTTAAGTATTTCTATGTTTTTATCATCTGTTGGTTTAAAAAAAGGTAATTTTTTGCAGTATATTTAATTGAAAGGTTATTAAACAACTTTATTTTTAAAGGTCATTTTACACATATTCTTTTGGATGAAGCTGCACAGGCTATGGAATGTGAAGCAATTATGCCACTCGCCCTTGCTAGTACTGATACACGAATTGTTTTGGCTGGAGACCATATGCAGGTAACTAAACAATATTTTTATTAGAAATAGTTAATGTAACCATTTATTCAACATTTCAGTTAAGTCCAGAAATTTTTTCAAAATTTGCAAAAGAAAGAAATCTACATGTATCATTACTTGAACGACTTTATGACCACTATCCTGGACAATTTGCCTGTAAAATATTATTGTGTGAAAATTACAGAGCACATGAAGCTATAATACATGTATGTTTTACAATATGAAGATTATGCATACATATTCTAGTAATATTTTATTTATTTTTCTAGTTTACCTCTGAATTATTTTATGAACAAAAACTGGTAAGCAAAGGCAATCAACCACAGCATGACAGTTTATACCCTTTGACTTTTTTTACAACTCGTGGTGAAGATATTCAAGATAGTAATTCAACAGCTTTTTATAATAATGCAGAAGTTTATGAAGTTGTTGAACGGGTATCTGAGTTAAGAAAAAATTGGCCTATAGCATGGGGAGCATTTGACGAACATTCCATTGGTATAATGACACCTTATTCAGATCAAGTTTTTAGGATAAGATCAGAGCTCCGGAAACGGCGTATGGGTGGCATATCTGTTGAGAGAGTTCTCAATGTACAAGGTAACCTATATGATAATGTATAAAGAGGGTAAACCAAAATTTTAATTTTTTTTTTTTTTTGAGGCCTTATTTAGTTAATTTGTACAGGTGTACCAATACCATAAAATCTTATTTCATGAAAAAAAAAAAATTTCCACTTTACTAGCTGTAATTTTAAGTGTAAGACACAATTTATTTGTATTAATATTTTTTATCGTTTAAATTAAGGCTGTACAAAAAATTGCATGTGTTGCAATCAACATATTGTAACAAGAACGAATAAATAAAGTCATATAATTAATAAGAAGAGAATCAATATTGACAGTTATTATCCGCAAAACATACAAATTTACATAATGTTGATAATCACATAGAACATCAATTGAAAATATTTTTATTGATTGAACAAAATGTCTATATAATCATTAAATTTGTGGAAAAAAAAGCTGATACTGGGGAAGGGTGTGCCATTGTTTTAAATGGCTAGTTGGGAAGGTAGGATAAATAAAATGATTTAATTAATATCTATAAGCAAAAAAAAAAAAAAAATAATAATATTGGTCTACCCTAGTGATGAGTTTATAAATTATTAGAATTAGGATAACTAATCATGTTTGTTATGTTTAGGCAAACAGTTTAGAGCAATATTTTTAAGCACTGTACGTACTAGACGTACTTGTTTATCCAATAATACAGGAGGTGGTGAAAAAGCCAACAGTGGTGTAAACAAACTTGGCATGGACGATATGGATTATGGTTTTTTATCTAATTCAAAGTTACTGAATACTGCCATTACTCGTGCACAGAGTCTTGTGGCAGTAGTTGGAGATCCAGTAGCACTTTGTTCTATTGGACGATGTAGAAAAGTTTGGGAACGATTCATTCAAATCTGCGATGAAAACCATAGTCTTAATGGCATCACATGGATACATTTACGAAATCTATTAGACAACCTTGAACTGAAGAAAACTTATGTTTTGAATCCTTTGGCTCCAGAATTTGTTCCCAGGCGTTATCAGCAAGAGTCGTACATCAAAATTCCACAATCTTTAGCAACTTTTAATGCAGCTATACCGCCACCTCCAATAAGGTTTTCTCAACCACCTCCTTTATTTTCCTCTCCTTTATTTCCATTCCCACTGTATATTTCTCAACCTCCTCCTCCTCCTGCCTTCATCTCTCTACGGCAACCAATTATAAATCCTTCTCAAATGTGGCCAATTGGACCACTAACAACTACTGCACCAAATTTATTTCCAAGGCCTCTACTTCAACCACCAATACAAAAACCAAATGAAGAGGAAATAAGACCACCACCTGGTTTGGTGCCTCCTCGTAATCCAGGGCTAGTACATTTGGTTCAAAATGGGCATACTGACATTCAATTTATGCAAAATGCTTCTGGTGTAACACCCGTAAACTTACCTTCTCCCAATATGATTGTCCCAAATGCCAATTTAATGGGACTTCAAGATCAATTCAATAAAATGAACATATCATCACTACAGCCATATGCAATGCAACACCCTTCACTTGTACAACCATTCAATATTAGAACAATGGTAGATGCGAACAACAAACATGCTGAAACAATCACAGCGCAGCAAACACAACGCAACAATGATCGATCAATGCTTGAGGTATTTTTTGAAAACAACTTAACATTTTTAGATTTTGAGTATAGTGAAGAATTTATTGGTTTTACTATGTTATTTTGTTTGTAATTCAGTTACAAATAATGTTAGAGACCTGTAATTTTCACTGAATAGTTATATTATATATATATATAATATTAGTCCTTTATAAACTTGGCATAATTTTAAAAACAATTGGGAATTTTTAAGGCATTTGAAATTTTTGAATTTTTATTTAAATTTTGTTTTAGCTTCTTAATTGTTCTTATAGTAATACACAGAGTGGTGATCAATCCATCGTAAGACACTCATTATCTATAAAATTATTACATTTTTTTGGAATTTGTTTTTTAGCACATTTAAGAAATAAACAGTTCTTTAATTTTATTTATATTTGTGTTTTATTTCTATTATTTTTTTTTTTGTCCTTATTTTTAGAGGTAAAATCTTTTGATCTTAAAATGGCCACCTATATTAAAAATTTCATAAATAGATGGAATATTAGTTGAAGTAAATTCAAGTGCTGACATTTTTAATTTCTGACAATTTGTTGATAAGATAATCCACTTTTAAGTTTGTTTGAGAAGTGCAGTGGCGTTATGTGGCTGCACAGTGTTAATTGTATAATATTGAAAATCCGTAGTTGATAATTTTTTTAAAGCATTCAAAGTTCAAATTTTCATTGAAATCAATATTATTAAATGAAAAGTGTATACAAATTATTTAGCCTGTAAAATGCTTGTAAATTGACATAATTTTACTATGTCATACTTAGGATAAAAAAAAAAAAAAGGTTTAATTTATATATAATTTTACTCATATTGGTTTTTTTTTTTTTTTTTTTTTATCAAGAAATATATTACAATTATGTTTATTTTCTTAGGGTATGTTACCACATAACATGAGTGTAGAAGAAATGATGAGTTCTCAGACTAAGCAAGTTGAATGGTTAAAATTTCTTACAGATAATGGTGGTTCTTTAATGGGACAAAAGTATGTGTATAGTTTTTCTTGTCAAATATTTCAAAATATATTAATTACAATTATTTTTAGGTTTATTGAGCTATTGCGGTCTCAATCACAGTTTAAAAAGTCACCTATACAACAGCCACCCCCACTTCAACAACCACCACCAAATATGTCATTGCCAATGAATGTACCACCTCCAGAGATTGGAAATAGAGTTCCTGACGATTTATTTAATATTTTGATTCAACAGAATCAAAAACATCCAATTAATCATAATGGTTATGGAAATTCTTCACAGGTAAATTTAAGTTTATATTTACAAGTATATGTTTAAACTAAATTTAAAAAATTGATTACAGGGGGTTCCACATTTAGATGGTGGTGGAACTTCAGAGGATATGTATAAACCATCATTAGGTAATCAGTTTGCACTTGGTCAACAACAAACAACTATTGATCAAATTGATCGTACACCATTATATAAACGACAAGCACAATTACAATCTAATGGCAACATAATGTTACCAATCAATGGTGAACGTCATGTATTGTCTCCTCAGTATCAGAGTATGTCATCGTATGCAGATGCTTGTAGACAATCGCCAATGGTTGATGAACGCAAAAATTCTGTGGATGCGCAGTTTGCCAATGATCCACAGTGCAATAATGCGTTTTATAATTTTTTTTAACTGAATGCTTTTGTGAAAATATTTTGTTTCTGTAATTTTTTTTTCTTGATTTTTTGACCTATAACAAACATAAATATTTATTGATTTATCAATAATTTAAATAAAAAAGTAATTATTTGTATTATACATTATCCTATTTGTGCATAGTTGGTAGTAATTGTAATTTCAATATTATTTGAGTATATATATATATATATATATATATATATACTCAAATATATATATATATATATATATATAATTATCATAAAATTACATTTCTATTTGATTCACATGATTTATTTTGGTGTATGAAAGCGATTAATTTTAAATGAATATAGGATATGATTATTCGCATTAAAAAAACTAATCAAATATACATTTTCCTGAAACATTCGTATAATAACAATTGTAATATTTTTTCCGTCTAACTATTTAGATGTTGTAAATGTTCACATATTAGTTATCATGTATATAAAATATTGTACTTTATTGATTTTTTTCTTTTCTGCTGTATAATGAAATATAAATGTATAACATTATTATTATATTATTATAAATTTATAAACCTTTACCATGTACCTATATCTACAGTAGCATGTCAAATTATGGTTTTTGTATTTGTGTATAATTATTAATTATTATTATATATCTAAAAATAAACATAAAATATTCACTATAGTAATTGATTTTACAATATACCTATTTTTATTTTTTACCTGTGGAAATTTGCCATAATATTTCATTTTTTGTTAGAATTTTCAGTGAAAATAGTTACTAGTACCGTAAAATAGGGTATCATTGATAAAATTATTTTTTTACTTTTATGTTTATAAATTATTGTAAAATGAAGCTCTTCAAAAAGTGTTTTCCAATTATTGTTCTTCATAAGTATTCAAAGAAAAATGAGTTTATAAAATAACTTTTTTTTTTTAAATTACCATAGAAATTTGTAAATTAATAAATTATCAAAGTTATACTATAAGTGAAGTAACTTTGATAAGACTGTTAGGATAGTGTAGAATGAATAGTAACAGACCTAAAAGTATCAATATTTCCCCATATTAAATTCCATCAACAAATTTTTGAGTTATTAATATTTTTTAACAGGGTAACTTTGATAAATATAGATAAAAATGTATAAATTATACTAATAAAGGCTTAAATAATTACTTTTTTTTAAAATTAAACATTAACTAAACATACTTAATAATTAACCAACAAATGTATAACATGTTTGGTAACATTAATCCTTGACTTAGGCATTCAGTCTAAATAAAATATAAACAATAAACCTAAATTTTTATAAAAATAGGAATTTAAGTTTGATTTTTTTTTAAAAATGCAATAATTGCTGTCAGTTGCGAATTTGAATTTTGGCTCGATGAAAAACCAACAAACACTAAAACATGTTCTAAATTTTTGTAGTCTTTTGCATATTGCATACAAATTTACATAATTTTTTATTTATGGGACCTTAAAAGAACATAAACAAAGCTTAGATCTTAACCAAAAGATTTGTTTTTTTTTTATCACTAAATATATAACTTATAATGAACCTCATGTTAAATTTTCAAGCATTTCTGTTTGTTTAAACAATTTTATCCAAATACCTAATACCTACCAAATTATAAAAACTATGTAAAAAACTCTCAAATATAAAATGCCTATAAATAGCTCAATATGTTTAAAATATTTTAAAAATTTGACCATGGCAATATAAAGTCAAGATCAATATAAATTTTCTGTCAAAATGTCGAGTCTAAAAATGATTATTTGACGACTATGTAACGAGTAAGAAAATTTGATGGTTAATAGTTCTAGAGTGCGAGTTCGATAAAGAAAAATAGATTATAATCTACTAAGTCAAATTTCTATTAAAGCTGTACCTATTTAAAATTAATATTTTGTTTAAATATTTAAATGTTCACAACAAAATAGCACTGTCCGTATAATATATTAATATTACTATGAGTAAATGTTACACGTAGTTTTTTACATAAGCGTCCATTACTGCCGAGAGGGTTTCCAATGGGGACAATAGGTTTCACTATTACAGTTCGATATTACTGCGTGTAAAGCGATAATCGCGCCGCACTTTATACCTGTACTCTATGCCATCAGGCGCAACAATAAAAATAAACGCTAAGATGTACAATTTTCGAAACATTTTGGCGACTTTTGAGCTATTAGTAGGCATTTCTTTAGTTTTTATTTGTTACCTATACTATACCTATGTGGATAAAATTGTTTGACTACACATAAATGCTTGAAAATTTAACAGGAGGTTTATTATAAGTTGTGTTTGGTGTTACGCAAAAAAGTTGAGTGTAATGTGGTATTTTTTTTTAATAAGAGTTTTAATATCAAATTTTGTCAAAAATCGTAAATGTTACAGACTTTCCAAACATGTATAACCGAATTACGTATTCCGAATCTTTTTTTTTTTAGCAATCATTTATCGTTGCTTACTGATATAAATTAAATAATTTTATGTATCCTACCTTTTTAAATTCCCATCTACAAGCTACAACAGTGGCATACCCGCCCCCAGCCATTTCTTTTTATTATTATCGTTTTTATGAATCACAAACGAAGAATAGTTTATAGTGCCTTTTCAATATTTATTTATTATTTGAAAACCAGAAAATACGATTGAAAATCAACATATTGACGATGAAAATACAGTAGACAAAACCGATGCTCGTACAAACAATTATATATGTACTTATGCAAAATGTAATATTTTCTTGAATTACACAGACGTATACCATTATATATAATGCGTCATTTCAGCTTTTGAAAGAATGGAGCTACTGAAGACTATTGTCAATCTCATAATATTGAAAAAATTATGGTTACCTATATATTTATGGACGATAGACCATCAATAAAATCATTTTTTGAAACAAAAACTGGTAAGGGATCAAAATTATTAATGATATAATGATGATAAATAAAGGACATGAAATGTTTTAGTTTCTCCAATTAAATAATAACATTGAAAATAGTAAAATTTGTTCAAGTTAAATCGGAAAGGATTATTTGGTGCTCAGACATGTTTCAGCCGCATACACGTTTTCATCCGTATGTATTTTTCTTTTTCTTGACATTTCATTCATTTCAATTACAAAGTAATAAATCAAACTTGAGTTACCAGTAGGCATAATAGAAAATATACTAACACGTTACACGATTCAAAAATTATGCAATTTTTGCTTATCATCAATTGAACAGATAATCGATTTTACCATTTTAAGCTTTATAATAAGTAGTATAGTAATACTGATACGTAAAATAAAAACAAAAATATTGTTCCCTGACGATGACATCATGGTCAATCGGCAACCAGCGTTCGATGTCATCAAATATTAACAATTTGTTGCAAATCCATGTACAATATCTATTTTTGAATTTGTCTAGGTATTCGACAGAAGTGTTATAACGATTGTTATCAGCCGTGGAACCAGTATTTTCCAATAACCAACATTTTAATAAACCGTAGAAATGTGGATATCAAAAAGAATATTATCTGATTTCTGAGTACAAAATACGAATTTACTGATTTTAGCATTTTGATCATCGAACGCAGAATTTCCGACTTTTTTTAAATGTATAGAGTGAGCCATTTACCACGGTCTGTCTCCTTATCATATGACGTCCCTGCTTATAAAATACGAGTAATTTTAGATAGGTACCACGCGAGCGATCTGTTGTCGTTCGCCTGAAACTCTATAGCTAAATAAAGAACGATTCCAATCAAATTCTCGTGTGTGTTCACTTATTGAGACTGTCGTGTATATATACCAAATTCGTAGTAATACAATAAATGAATGAAGTTGAAACCAATTGGCGTCGACTTCATTTATTCTATTAGTACTTCATATAATAACGATAAGCCATCACGAGAGAAATACATGTCCTTGTATGTGCTCGTGTTCATTTTTTTATTATTATAAATTATTATTATATTTATTATGTTCAAATAAAATATTTAAATTGAATCAATAGGATGGCTTTTTTTTTAGTTTTCCCCGTTAATAAAGACCATCACACTGTATCGTGTCTTTAGCATTTGGAAATATCGCGAATTATAAATTTTAAAATATTTCATATTTTTAGATTTTGAACATTATGAGGAATTTATTGGGCATTTAGGTTTACTATGATGTGTGCGATTTATTTTTAGATTTTGAGCTTAGCAAGGAATGTGTTGGTTTTATTATGATGATTTCTGTCAGTCTATGAATAACTTTTTTAGCACATATATTGTACCAATGACTAGATATTTTTTTTTTTATTGCATTTTGGATCTAATAATTAGTACATTCAAGTATATTAAACAATGCTATTTTGTTGTGAATATTTAAACAGGTACTTGTTTCTATAAACAAAATTTTAATTTTGAATACAACTTTAATTGAAAATTGACTATAAGTAGATTAAAATCTTTCTCTTTTTATGCATCTTTCACTTGAGTTATTAACCCTCAAAATTTCTCATTTCCAGTCGTACTAGGGATGGGCATGAAATCCGGATATTAAAATCCGGATTTGAATCAAATTCTTATCAAGATTTTTGAATTATCCGGATTTTAAATCTGGATATGCCCATCACTCATCTATACCTTATATAGCTTTTCTTTATAGTTTTTGTTGATTATTTTGTTACTGTATTTTTTTCCAGTTTGGGTGTCTACACGTGGTTCTTGTTATTTGTCTTCAATATTATCCCCTACGGTGGTTAGTCGGTTTATCAAGCTATTTGTGACTGATTGCATTGCTTGTTTATTAATTTCGATGTTTTTTTTTTAGAAGCGATTTCTTTTTCGAAAGAATCTTCGAGTACATCATCCTCGTTAGTAGCATTACGATTGTTACGTGCATATTGCACTTGTTTCCTTTCATTTTAGATTCTGAGTGGAACGAAAAAGCTTATGATATTATAAAGATCTTAAAAATGTTTTTTTTCTGTGGACAACTTTTCTACCAAGAGATTTTGATCCAATTTTTAGGTGTAGCACCTTTCTTGAAAGGAAATCGGTGTGGAGAAGTACATTAGTGAGGTCATTTTTCGATTTTCTCAACAAATGTGAAAAACTGAAAAATTGGAACAATATTACACAAATATTGTTAACGAAAATAAATAATGCCTATTTAATTATTTTACTATAATATGACATAAGTACTGTTGACAAAGCATCACTATCAACTTACGGAACTTCATTTAGAATCGTTTTTTCGTTAGCAATGGTTTATCAACGGCATACAGTTATACATTAAATTCCCTTCTGTATCCTACCTTCCCAACTTCCCACCTATAACAGTAGCTGCACCTGTCCCCATTATCTTTATAGGACAGCTTTTTTTTATTCAATTTATCATATACTTCATGAAGTAATTTTATATTTCATGAATTAATCAATCTTATTTTCAGTAGAGCACCTATCCGAAAATTACTCGATAGCCGAGTATTCGATATCATATTTAACTTATTTAAGACTTAGCCCTTACTCGGTACCGACGTAATACCTACATTTTTACACGACCGTTGATACGCCTAGTGCCTACTACATTTTTGCTGAATTCATATCAAGTAACTGGCAAATGCTGATAAACTGTGCATAAGTATGTATGATTACCTATAATTAATATAACGGGAAAAATCTAAAATTATAATTTTACTTTGGATTATTCCAAAGTAATAAATTATAATTTATTTTGATACATTTTTAAATAACAACCAATTTACAATAGCCAGTTTAGTATAGGTGTTACATTATTAATAATTAAGTAATAATTTCTCAATCAGTAATTAGTAGTTGATAATATTTATAGTGCCTTGAACCCCACTTTGTATTTACATTTCTACTTGACCAATAATCGACACTCGGTTTATAACAAATTATCTACTCAAAACATTTCTAGTATTATTCCCTTTTCGCATATGGCTATCGGACTTCATAGGTCTTAACACGGATTTAAATCACAGATAATAAAGATATGGGTAGAATACTCCTTAGAAAATTTTTAATTAAGGTGATGTTTCCGGAGGTGCGATAAATTAACGTAGTATGAATTCATCACTATAAAGATAAAACGCGTCACTTTATGAAACTTGGAGGAACTGCAGTATCCATCCTTCTTGAAACACCGATAAGATATAGATAGCCTATCCGCGGACTAAGAAAGAATGGACTGGTAACAAGTGTCTTATCGATGACAACGAAATGGTTCCCCTATGATCGATACAAGGCAATAAACGCCTGTATGGTTGATCATATGAATAAATAATCATAACAATAAATCTAAAAGTTTTTTTTAAAGAGAACAAGTGAAATTTAACTTACCTGTGGATTTATTTAACTACAGACTAACACAAGAAGATACAAAGTAAATTTTATATTTTATAATTGAATATTAAATAATTTAAAAAATTTCTTTTTCTATGCGTTAACTTTATTTTGATCTCAATAGAGATTATTATTATAATAATAAACAAAAGAATACTAGCTGTCGCATTCGTATAGTGATATACGTAGTGAAATAATATGTGTAAGAACTTCAGTCTTATGATTTTTACATGAAAAATGTGAAACATTGTTCTTAGTATTAAAGAAATCGTCAACTATCAATAAAAAAGAATCAGAATTATCATAATAAATATTTAAAGAATTATTTCTCCACAGAAGATAGAAAGTTAAACATAAAATGATTTAGATGAATCAGTACACCTATTGATATCAAATTAATCAAAACAACTTCTGCTCTATTTCAACAATATTTATTTAAATATTTTTCTTTTCAGAAATAGTGCCACACGTCGTACATATCTAGGCGTCTTACATATCATAAAATTGTTGTTACAGTATATATATATATATAAAATAAACATCTTTGTAAAACCAATACATTCTTCGCTACACCAAGAATCTAAAAATTATATCAAATAATATATTGATTATATCTAGTTTATCTGTATCTGGACTAATAACTATGCCAAATGTCAATGTCAGTCCACTTTTTTCGGGAAGGGGGGAGCGATCGCCCCCAACGTTCCGACCTCACGGACGCACCCGGTTAATCACTGACTAAGAAAGAATTGCATGGTAACAAAATGTGACCCTTCCAAAAGTACACGGTTTCTTCTTAGTTCTGTAGTTAAAACACGCAGTCGCGTGTCGATACTCGTTTTGGGATACCTAGTGTATAGATAGCGCTCGATATCTTGTACTTTTGAAAGGGAAATATTTGATGATCAGCACTACCACCCCGCCGACCAGTTTTTTCTTAGTCCGTGTCCATATCCATATCCATATTGTTAACAATAATTTTAACACAGAGTCGGCTGTCTATAAAATAAACAAAAAAAGTAGTAATAGTTGTTTTATGTGATTGTGATTTAAATCATAATATTATAGTAATATTATTAAGTAATAATACAATTCAAAATACCACTCAAAAATTATAAACCAATCAGAGTCGGCGAAAGACCAGCGCCATATTTGCGCAGTTAGAGACAGAATTACGCCTGTTGATAACGTTGATATTATACCTTTATAGTTATAAATTTATTATATCATAATGCATTTAACTCTAGGTTGTCCATAGTTACGTTCTACCATTCTACCTATAACTTGATAACCGCAAATGTTCCATTATTGATTATTATTGTATTTGTTTATCAGAAATGGTAGTGATAAATAATTTAGTTTTTTTTAGTTATTTTAAATTTATGTTACTTGTATTTGTGTGCGCGATGCATGGACCATAAAAAAAAATAACGAAGTTCATTGTAGTTAGGTATTCACGCATATAAGCGCCTTATACTATTGAATGTATTATTTTCTTAAAATTATGACAAATGGATAAATAATTTAGTTTTAATTGGTCTGTGACATAATCTAGTATTTTGCAATTTCTGTATAGACTCATAAAATGTAGAATACATAATATAACTAATTGTGGCTTAAAAGCCGTTGCTTTAAATGTGAATATTTTTAAGAAATAAAAAGTAAAATACATATAAAAAAACAATTTTAGTTCATAACAATCAAACTAAATATTATAATCTTATTATTTATAATTTGAATTTTAAGGCTTTTCATTTCAGTTTTAATTCTACTGTTTCTCTAATGAATCTATTAATGAGTTCTTCATTATAGCAATCATTTTTCAGTTTATTTATAATATACTTCAGTATAATATTTATATATAAATTATTTGAACTATGAAATAATTAAAAATTACATTGTGATTTACATTTTGAGCATTTTCACTTTTTTTATTTATTAGTAACACAAATAATTAAGATGAGTTCTAAAGTGGAATTCATTCTAAAACAAATGATCAGTCATGATCCCAAATGGCGAGATATAGAACTACACGAAGCTTTGAATGAAAATTGCGTTAACAGTTATTGGAACGAAATGATAGAAGATGGTGAACTTATTCCTATGGAAGATAGTACATTTCTACATTCAAGAAAAGGTTGAATCATAATATTTACCTTTTATATTAGGTAGCTGAATATACTTATTGTAATTTAAAAATGTTCAATTATTTCAGATCAATCTGGACGATATTATAATGGTCTTTGGGCATTAAATTGTCCATGTAAAGATGACCCATCTGATATGGTATGCAATTGTGTTTCTTGCCAATATGATGATAATGATACTGATGAACTTAAGTCAAAACAAATGTTTGAATCTCTTAGCTGGAATCCTAATTGTAGTAAGATGTTTATGTTTTAATATTTTAAATAAGTAATATACAGGCTATTTTCTCCCTATATTTTCAATGTTATGAAAACTGAAATATATTGGAACAATTCTTGTTTAAACATTATTTTTTATTATTTTTTAATGTTTAATCCATTGCCAAAATCAAAATTGTACATAAACCTTAATATTGAGTGAAAAAAAAAAATGATCAAGGGAGTGATTAAGGGAGTATACAAAGTATACAAATGACAACAATAAAAAAGTAATAATCCAACAATAGTTAACCAATAGTTGAGCAATCATTGAAAATTAAAAATGCTAATTTCAAGCTTTTTTCAAGGTTTAGGTATATATATAACTATCAAAAGTAAAAGTAATATGTATGTTTCGATTTTACCAATGGATTAAAAACTCCACGTTTTAAATTAATTTTGTTAAAAAATGTACATTACAAATAAGTCAAACATTTTAAAGATTATTTCTAAGTAACTTTAAATAGAAGGAAATCTAACTTGAACAGTCTTTTTTATAGATACTTATTGAACATTTAAAAACACATTTTTCAAGAAAAAAAAATTAAAAATTTGAAAGTTGTTAAACTAGAAATATTCCAAAATATTTTGTAAAAAAAAAAAATTAAAAATATATTCAAATTATTTTTTCCAAATTGTATTTAGATAGTGATAAGGTAAAATTGCTCATATCTGTGTTTGCGGCTGAACAACAAAAGCTTTGTGAAGAAATATGTTATTCAACATTATTTTTTAATCGAACACAATTTCGGATAGCTATTGCTTCCCGTTATTTTGGTGCTTTTTATAGAAGTTTCTTTTTACATTCCAATTTGAATAATACACAATCAATTGTGATGCATCAAAGTTGTAATAATTCTAAGAACACAAAAAAGTAAATAGTTTTGAATTTAATTGTAATTAAAATATAATAATTTTTAACAAATTGTTTATTTGTTAGCAATACTAAAGATGAGGAAAAAATGTCTTTATTTGCTAAAATTGGAACACAGACAGCTTTAAATTTCTCATTTGGATTTCTAGTCAGCACATGGCGTTCAGGCAATAATTTTGATTTATGCACACAAATGCTTAAAGACGCTTTTGAAGCATTGCAATGTGTTCCTGATGATTATCTTGTAGATGAAAGCAACGTTCCTACTTTTTGGATTGAAACACTAGAAAGGTCATCAAAATTTCTATTTCAAGTAGTCAATGGGTAAAAAATTACAGTTTTTTATTTTTAATTGTAAAATGCTTAATTATATTAAAATATTTTATTTTTATTTATTGTGTTTTTAGAAATGTCAATGTTCCTGAAAAAGAAAATATTAATGTTGATTACATTCCAAATACTGACAGACAATTTGCTTTGTGTCTTTCATTAGAATTAGGTCTACAAAGAAAGTCACTAAGTCAAATTTTACAATGTGTATTAATGTTTTTTGAATTAGGGTCTTGTTGCGATAAGTAATACTTAATTTTATATATTTTTGTTAATTATTATTTACATTTTTATTTTTTTTTATTTTTAGAGTTCATAGTAGACATTTACATAATTTATTAACAATAACACTTCGCCGCTTAAACTGGATAGTAAATAGAATTCAAAGCAATTTCAATTATGATGTGATTCATTCTAATCAAGTGCCTATTTCTATATTATTTAATTGCACATATTAGTATGTATTGTAATGTATTATTATTTTAGGATAATGTTACTAAAAGTTTTTTAAGATTGTATGATGATGCTGACAATCCAGAACCTACTGAAATGAAGCAAACAGCTGTGATGGTTTTATCATATTTAGATCAAATAGCTATCACATATTTAAAACTTCAAGTAATATGGTTATCTTTTAGTTTTAACTGCTATATATTTTAATTTTATCAAATTGTGAATGTTAGCAAAAAATGAACGACATAAAAAATAAAAAGAATATAGTACAATACTGGGGTAAATCATTTTATCCAGAAACAAAAAACAAAGTTACATCTACTCTTGAGCGTTTACATATTAAATCTGTTGTATGTTCAAGAAATGAAATATTGGTGATAACAACAAGTGGTACATTACATTTTATTAGTTATTCAGTTGATTCAATGGTAATTAAACATTATTGAAATATTTATTATTTTGTTGATAAACCTTAAATATTAAATAATGATTATAAAAATATTATATAATAGAATTTTGAAGAAAAAATAATTATGAATGTACCCGTAAAATCTGTAGACGTCTATGATGAAACATATTTAGTAGTTACACAGAAAGGAGAAGTTTACTCTTGGGGTGTAAATGACTTTGGTGCGCTAGGCCACGGTAAAAAATATTCTACTTTATCTACACCTGAACAAATTGCAGCACTTTCTAAAATAACAATTATAGCGGTTTCATGTGGAAAAGATTTTAGGTAAGATTTTGTTAGATTACCAATTGTATTATGTTAAAGTTTACAAATCAAATACTTAATTAAATTATTATTTGAATAAGAGCTTGAATACTGAATTTGAATTGAAATTGGTTTTAGTGCTGCTGTTACGGAGGACGGAAAATTGTTTATGTGGGGTAAAATATTACATGGCGGTAATTCTTGTTATATTCCAGAATTAGTTAAATCTATATCAGGTAATTATATAAAAATAACACTTAATATAATACATTTAAAATGTAAAATAAAATAAATAGATTTATATTATTAATACATAAACCATAAAATATTTTTAACAATAAACTATTTTTGATAGAATGGCATATTTCAAATGTTTCTTGTGGAGCTTCTATTAATAATACTTTGGCTTTATCTAGAGAAGGATATGTTTTTTCATTTGAACATAGAAATTCTGATAAAAGTATGATTTTTTTATTTCTGTATCATTAGGTTCTGTTATTGGTATATAAAGTATCTATGTTCTTATTAGGTTGTGAAGATAAGTCATTAAATGTAATACCCAGCATGATTGTATTTGACTATGAGATTGTGTCAGTGTACTGTCATAATGATGTAAATGCTGTTATTGATTGTGTCAATAATGTGTTTACATGGGGAAAAGGCAACAATAATATGTTGGGGCATAATAACTCATTTTGTGTTAATCGACCAAAAGAAGTCAAATTTTTAAGTGGTATATTTGTATATATATATATAATATGTTATAATTATAATTACTTAAATATTATTGTTTAAAAATGTATATTCAGGTAAACAAGTTACAGCTCTTTCATTGGCAGATGACTACATATTAGCTTTAACTGTTACGGGCCAAGTTTACTGTTGGGGACAATTAATTAACGAAAATACAACACAATGTAGACGTGTAAAATGTTTAATGAATAGACAAGTGAAAAAAATAGCTTGTAGCTCAAATCAAGTAAATATTACATTTCACGGAAATAAAATTAGTTTGATTTAAATAAACCATGCATATTTTAATATTTTTTGCCTTGTTATAAATTTATACTTACCAAACTATAAATGCTATAATTTCATTAATAATAATAATTATGTATTTAGTTTCTGTTAATTGTGTATATTATAATTAATTGTACATTTTATACAGGTGATCAACACCTAACAAAAGACTTTTATTTTTTTGGAATATTTAAGAAACAAGCAGTTCTAAAATGGCCCAGAAAAAGTTTTTTTAATTTTGTAAGATTTATACTTGATATACATCATCTACCGCATGATTACACCATTTCTCTTGATACATTTAGTATGGGAACCCTTGCTAGGTGTAAGTATACTCTGGTTAACATTCCTAAATGGATAATTATCTGAAAAAGTTTCTGTATACCTCTTAAGTATAATTAACTTCAAATGACAACAAATCTCTAAGTCTTTTTTACATTTTTTCCTGCACTTTAGATTATTTAGCAAATGAACTAATCAAAAGATAAATTTCCTTTGCCAATGTGAATGCATCTTACCTCTGTTAATGTTTGTAGCCATTTAATGTTTATTTTAATTATGTTCATAATCTGTAGGCATCATTTAATAAGTTTGTATGTATTATTATATTGATTGTGTTGTCCACTGATAGTTTGTTATTGTTGTCAAATTATTATATTTAAAAGCCGCAAGGCCTAAACTTTATTAAAATAAAAATATAATGTTACATTATATTTGTCACTCTTATTTTCTGGATGAAATCACTAAATTTTTGGTTTTCAAATAGCAACCTTTGTTAAAAATTTTATAAAGAGATGAAGTTAAAATATAGATGAATAAATGAAGTTAAATACAATTTTGGTGTTGACATTTTTTAATTTCTGTCAACCCATTGACAAGATATTCCTTTTTAAGTTTGCCATTTAATGGATAATGGAAGAGTATTGGATCACTATTCAAACGCTGCACATTGTAACTAGCACACTAACAATGTTCAATTGCATTCCTACTGCTCAAAATTAAAACTGGAATATCTCATCAACGAGTGATTTCAAAACCAAAATTTATTTAAACTAGGCTAAAAATCAAAAATAGAGTAGTAACCTTATTTTAAAAAATAAGGATAAACTAGGTTAAATAAAAATGAAACTATAATATTTTTAGAGCTGCTTGTATCTTAAAAGTTGTAAAAAATAAATTTTGAAAAATTTAATACTTTCCGAGGTAATTAAGTATTTTACATTATGTTGAATACTCTGTAAAATAAAATTTACTTACTGTAGGATTTTTAAAAATTTTTAAAATATTCATTGTTAAATTTTTCCCAAAAATAGAGATTACATATATGTGTATGTGTATAAAACAACTCTAATTCACAAGGTTCATTTGGTTCATAGTGGGTCGCCAAAAGTAGCAGAAGAAAAATAAATAATTTTTTTTCTCCTGTTTCAACTTTTCTACCTCCACTCCTATTTTTATATATATTATTCATAATTTCATATAATCTCATAATTATTAATATTTGATTAAGATTATATTTATGTTTTTAAGTGTTTTGCTTGGTATGATTGCGAAGAATTTAATATAGGAACATCTACACCATTTGTAACAGACTTGCAGATTCAAACATTAAATTATTTAGAGCAACTTTTGTCTAATGAATTTAAAGAATATAACTTATATATTGATTGGCCACCTTCTCAACAACAAGAATGTGTTCTTATATCAGTATTACATTTGCTTACATTACAAGTAAATACAAAAATATTTAAATACAATTTTAAATTATTATTAATTTTTTTTTTGGCAAAAGTTTCATTCAATGATTAACAATAATGTGAGTGCTGATACGGTTGGACTTATTGGAAATTCAAAACTATTATTAAATATACGCCAAACAATTACTGAGTTGGCGTCAAATACAAAAGTTATAAATACTATTAAGTTTGCTGCCCAAAAAGCTTTAGAAATTGGATGGCTTATACTATTTCAAACACCAAATGAAAGAGCTAATATGTTGTATACTATATTACAACCTTTAACCTCATCAAATGGTGAGCATTTATTAATTGTATTATTTTAATAAATAATCATCATTACTATGATTGTTGAAATTGTTCTTTTTAAATGTAGACGAATCCCAATCAATAAATAGTAATCAAGAATTTATGATAAATCTTATTACCAACAGTTTATTAGGTGACAATATCCTGCATACATTTTTACAAAAAGCTATTGAACGTAAGTTAACTAATTACTAGTTGATATTAGTTTTAAAATTATTTTATTTTATTTTATACAAACTTATTTTCAAAGGCGAATACAATCAAAATTTTGAAGGGCCCCCCAAGTACAATTTTGAAGTATCAAACATATCCCTTTGTTTTATAGTTTCTCAGTTACTGAAGTGAGTAAATATAAAAGTATAATTGATTATTAAAAATATATTAATATGGTTTAATTTTGATTTATATATTTATAGCAATTACTTTAATAGTCTTTCAATGCAAATTCATAAAGTAAAAGTGCCTTCAAACTCATTATATCAATCCCCTAGTTTAAAATTTATAATGACTTTTCAAAGACTTTTAATGATATCAATATATCGCCAAAAAATGAATAAAGATGATAAATGTCATAAAGAATCAGGTAACTATTGATTTTTGCTTTTGTGTGTTAGAAGAATGCAATTTTATACCTTTTTAATATTTATTTTTGTTAACATAAAATTATCATATCCATGTAAAATTTTTCGAATATGCAATACTTTCCGTGAAAATATAATATTTTGAAAATTAATTTAAACAAATAATTAATTATTTAAGAAAAAAAAAAAAAATATTAAGTTGCAAATTGCATTATGTTATTTGTTATAACAGTATAATATGATTTGACTATAAGTTGTAACTGTAGAGGTGTGTTCATCATGGTGAATCAAGTATTTTTTTCAACTTTTGCTTTATCTAGGCTGGGATTATGCTTGATTTTTGTATATTTAAAAGCCATAATGCCAGTAAAAAAAAGTGAAACCAGTAGACAAACCGTAATTTTGGCCTAAACATTGGCAATTTTTAGTAGATTTTTATGTATATTTGTAATATAACACTAACACACCAATATAAAACAGGTTTTGTACCTAGTTATTTTTCATTTTTATAATAGCCTTTTAAAGATAAAACGTATTGCATAAAATATATTCTATTACAAATAATGACATTTAGTTCAATACTTCCGTATTTGAAAAATTAATGTAATTCGAAAATGTTATTCTTTAATTTTTAATGTACTTTAGGTATGAATAATCAAGGTGCTGAAATACTTCTTTCAAAGTATTTAAGTAATTTCATTAATCGTGCCTGTCAAGCTATTGGACTAGCAAATCATGTAGCATCTAGAAGTTCAAAACATTATCAAATTATTACCAAAATAATAAATGCAACTGGATTTGGTATGATCATATTTTCTTAAATTAAGCTGATATTTTAATTATTATTATTAATTTGTAGACAAATTGTTTATGGAACTTTTGATAAGCTTAATTATGGTTCATCAAAAATCGCCTTTGTTCTTACAGCACATTGATTGGTTTAATATGTTTATACCTTTATTTAATGTTTTGGATACATTTAATATGATGACCCCAAATTTTGAACGTGAAGAAGATGATAATTTATCTTGGCCTGGATATTCTAGTAAATAATATATTCTTATACATAGTATAGCCATACTAAATATACTATAGCTAAATATAATTTATATATTAAATAACATAAATATATAATAAATAATAATTAATAGGTTATACTTGTAATACATCATATAAGAACGTTGAAGATATTTTGCTAATTCGAAAAGCTGATTTAGAAAATCATAATAGAAATGGAGGACGCTGGGTAGTGTTTAATAAAAAAGTTTATGATGTACAAGAAACTAGGTATTTAATTGTTTTTTTTAATTATATTTTACAAATTAAAATATTTCTTTTATAATACTTAGGTCTAGTGAAATGAATTATTCATTTGTTTCAATGTTGCACTCTTCGTCTATGTATGAACATGTATTATCTGAAATGCCTGAAGAAACTCTACAGTCACGTTTTGTTGGAAATTTTTTGGATCCAGATGAGGATATTGTTGAAGTCAGTAGTTATTATTATTTCTAAATTACCAAATTTTCAATAATGTACTAAATATTTGTTTAGCCTATTGAATCAAATTTGACAGAGCCATTGCTTTTAGACATTCATCGAACTCTTGGTTACTTTTTGGGCCTCCATGCTCACTGGCTAACTTCTTTACCCCAACCTCATTCTAAATATCAATGTTTCGATAGTTGGTCCTCATTATTGCGTGCTGGTATTGATAGTAATAGTAATAATAACTATGTAAGTAAAAACTCGGTTATTTTTTCTTATCAATTTTACCAACTAGGGTTGTATTATGACTACCGTGGTTACATTATACGGTTTTGATTATACATAACTTTTTTTGTGTGATAAATGTTTATTAATATTTTTTTTAATTAGGATGAATGTGTAAAAATATTAATATTAACATATAAAGAAAGTTGTAAATCAGCTGAGAGTCATATACAATATGGACCTGATCACCCTGTAGAAGAAATAATTCAAAATGTTGCTAGAGTGCTAGTGAAACATTTAAATTTAAATAAAAATGAAATAACTGAAAAAGGTTTGTAATGATTAAACTTTGAAATATAATAAATATGAGTTATGTTACAAACACTGATTTTTAAGGCTGAACAAAAATAAAATTAATTTTATTAAATGTATTTTAATTGAATTAAAAAGAACTGTAGAAAACTGTTGAAAAATTATATCAGCCAGTAGTGCAACTAGGGGGGGGGTGTTTTGGGTGTCTGAACACTCCCTATGAACACCCATAATTTTTCAAAATAATCTGACAACTTTTAAGCTATTTATAGTCATTTGAAATATTCCATTTTTTAAATTTTTTTTGGTTGTTTTAAGTGGATAAAACCATTTTAGTCCATCAAAATTATTGAAAATCTAATAAATAATTCAAGTAGAAAGAAGTGGTTAGAAAAAAAGGTAAACATAATATTATTTATTATTTTTTTTTTTTAAAAAATTGTAAAAATATTGTTATTTTAATTTATGTTTAACTGAAATTTGCTCCCAATCATTTTTTTATTATTAAATTACTCTGTTTATCCTACCTTCCAAATTTATCACCTACAACAGAGGCACACTCATTAGCTTTATCAGATTATTATTTTTCAGCATTTCAAGTTTGGATATGAAGTAAGGAATGACGGTTAAATTGTGTAGTATCTCCTTGATATTTTGTTTATTATTGAAAATAAATTAAGATACAATGTTTAAATTGTTGTGAAAAAAATTATGCTTACATTTATGACTTAGAAAATAACTGGTTCATGACACAAAATTATCTGATTTGTATTAAATAAAACTAGCAATATTAGTTTTATTTATTTAAAAAAATAACTATCTTTTTTAAATTTATAGATAGTTCAATACCGTTTGATATCATTTTTAAAATGTTTGGAAAAGTTAAAATTCAAATCCTCAAAATGAAACAAGACTCAAACTTAAATTATAAAGAAACATGTTCACCTATTTTAGATCGTTGCAGGTTTGTAATAATGTAATAAAGTTTTATATACTATCAAAATATTATGTACTATTTATAATTATTTAGATATTTACTCAATGAACTATGTCCAGTATTATCTTCTAAAGTGATTACAGCCCAAAAGTTACCAATTATAAAAGCAGAATCTCGATGGAAAACTGTGATTAACTCTGTTGTTTCAAGTATAAAAACCAAAAAAAATGTTAGGAATCATAAAGCTCGAAATCAACATCATCCATTACAAAATATATCAGTTGATGAAGTAAGTAATTTAATTAGTATTTTATGATAATATTTTATACAAAATAATAATTGAGTTATATTCAAAGGAAAATTTGAAAAACATAGTTTCAAAGTCCAATAAAAAATGTGTACCACTACAGGATAATTTTAAAAAAGGTATTATTACTATTCAATTTTATAGAAAATTGTAATTTATTTCTAATTAATTATACTTTAAGGTGTTTTTGAACAAATACAAGATACAAATGATACAAAATTGATAACTAATAAACACAATCGAATAGAAATCAGTAAAATAATAGTATCATTTATATTATCGAATGTTGACATTCATGAAATAAGAAATTTATTAAACTCTGAAGTAAATTTAAATAAAATGATTCAAAATATTCATTATTCACTAATATTTGTACACATTTTATTAAATCAGGTAGATAGATGCAATTTGATACAGACTGGTTATGAACTTATTTTTCAGTTATTTAAAAATCCTACATCAATAAATTCTGTAAAATATTGTATAATATCAGGTTGGTTGTCTCCATTACCAAAAAATCATAAATTTAGGTAATTATACTTAAATGTTTAAATGTGCGTAATTTAATTATATACCACTGTTTTAGAAACAATAATGAAGTTGAATTTGTAACAGTGACCCATAAACTTAAACTTTTAATTGCTAAATGTGATTTCATGAGATGTGCTTTAGAAGAAATTAAGTTGCTCGTTTCTCAAATAGGAAAAATTCAGAAATCAGTTGGGGTTCGGGATAAAATAACAAATATTAAAAAAATGAATTGGTGCAGGTAATTGTATGATAAAGTAATATTTAATGAAATTTATGAACTTACCTATTTTAATTCTTTAGATTTGCAATTGCAACATTTGGTTCAATAACTCAAATTTTAAATGGCAAAGAATCTAGCTTACTAATTAATTCTGGCATTTTACCAGCTATTAACTCCATTATAAACACCCTAGATCTTGCTGCTAAACGACCGATTGAAAAAATAAATGCAAAACAAATTATCTATGAAGAAGATTTACATAAAATAAAGAGTTTAAGGGGAGTTGATGTCATACCATACTTAAAATTAGGGGCCAGAGTTGTTCGTGGTGATGATTGGAAATGGGACCTCCAAGTATTTATTTGAGTAGCATAATTTACTATACTATTTTGTTGAATTTGGATTGGTTATAGGATGGTTCTGGTGAAGGTCAAATTGTTAGTAAAGTAGGCGATGATGGTTGGGTTAGAGTTCTTTGGGATCACGGAATTTCTAATTCATATAGAATGGGTAAAGAAGGAAAATATGACCTCAAACTTGCACCTGGTTTAGATACTGGAGATGATGATGATTCTGATTGCAATGTTTCATGCACGAATAATGGTGGTATGTTTTATTTATTTTATTTTGTTTAACAATTACAAAAAAAAAATTAATTTATAGAAATACATGAAAACTCAATGGAAAATCCATTTGATTTACTTAAGTGCTCCATGATTAAATTTCTTAACTGCCTGGCATTATCAAGTGCTGTTAATTCAATTGAAAATGATAATTCAATTAAAATTCTTTCAAAATATTATTATAACACATTAGAGGTAAAATGTATTTATTAATTGAACATATAATTTTTTAATGTGTATAATTTTTACCAATTTATCATATTATTTTTGATTACTAGAAAGGTTGGTTAAGTTCTAACATTTCAAACACCATACTTTTTCATTCTGAATGGATCAATATTTCTCTATTAAAGATAATTTCAAAAATATCTGAAGAATATAAAAAACAACTTGCATGTAAACAATGGATTGACATTCTTTTGTCAATTATTTCTCATTCACCAACAGTGACATCTCTAGCTACCCAGGTTTAAAATTTGAAAATTATTTTATATCATTAATTTTTTATGTGTTTATTTTAAATTTATTTAAGGTTCAAACCATACAATTGATCAAAATTTTGGTTACATCTGAAACAATTGATTCTACAACTATTAAATCTTTAGTAGAAACTCTTATGGAAGTAATTGGATCATCTGTTTTACAAAGCAACTCTAAATATGATGTTATTGGTAAAAATATAGTATTTATTATTTATATACATAATATATATTATAATTACAAATTACTAACACATTATTTCTACTATGAAGATGGAAAACCATTAGTTCCTTTAACAGCTTCCTGTTTAAACACCATTGCAGAAGAATGTATTCTATTATTGCGTACACTGTACAATAGCAAATTTTCAAACCAAAAAAATGCTACAGATTTGCCATCTTCTTTTGATTCCCTGATTGTTTTAAATCTCATATCAGCTACCAATTATTTAGCAAATCCTACACCTGATAAAAATTTATTTGTAAGTTAAAGTCCATATTATAATCAAATATATGTACATAATAATATTTTTATTTTCAGAAATTATATAGTTTGTCATATAGTGCAATGGCATCGTTGATGGTTATTGGAGGCTTTGATAATCGACCAAGAATTGGAGGAATTGTCTCAATAAAAGAAGAAACTGAAGGTTTGTTGATTTACAATTTTAATTGATCATTATTATAAGATATACTAATATGGTAACAATTTATTAAAATAGAACTGTTTAGACTTATAGTAGTTTTTCTTATTATATTATTTATAGTATTATATAAATTATATACTAATCGGAAAAGATTTTAAACAATTTTAGATTCTGAATGTATTGGTTTTACAATGTTGTTTAATATTTTTTTTTTTTTTTGAACAACTTTTCTACCAAAAATGTTGGTCTGATTTTTAAATGTAGTACTTTTTCTAAAAGGAAATTTGACTGGGGTGGTACTTTAAGGAGGTTGTTTTTTGATTAACTCGAATAAAACACGGGAAAATAGAAAATATGTATAATATTAAACAAATATTAAAGAAAATATTTAATGTACATGTATATGTAATTATTTTACTATAATATGGCATATATATTTTTGAAAAAGCAATACTATCAACTGAAGTCTGCTCAAAATTTTTTTTTCATTAGCAATGGTTAATCATTGCATACAGATATACATTAAATTTCCCCTCTCAACCTTTTCAACTTTTCACCATCTACAACAGTGGTCTACCCACTTGCGAAGTATGTTTGTCTTCTTTACAATCAAATTAGTCTTATTATTTTAATAGGATTATTAAATTACCATTTAAATAAAATACAATTGATTCCATCTTAAATCTTTGTCAATTGTACATACAACTTCATGTGTCACACCAAAACTACGATTTTAGATATATAAGCTAAAAATAGTAGTGATAATGATTGTTTATGGAAAAAATCAAATGATCCCTTATTTTCTAAGAGAATTTTGGAAGTTCACTGGGGTAATTTATTTTTATTTAGTATGGATATTTTACAAATAAAACAAGTAAAACCAAAATTTTGATACCAAAAAGAAAATTCTAAAAAACATATTCTCAAAATCATGTAATAGAGTTTGCAATTATTTTCTAGGACACCTTGTATAGAATAGTTCTACATTATAAAATATTTAATATTTAATTGGTATTTTAACCACTACATTTAATTTAAGCTACTGTAATGAACATTGAAAAAAGAGGAAAACTGAAAGTACTTATACATAATACTGGAAAAACTGAAAGTCTTTTTATCAAAGATATAGAACACATTCCAAGTTGTACCATTTCTACGGACTTTATAACAGACTCTATGATTGATACATTGACAGCAATGTTTTCTGCAGTCATCACTAATCAAAGTTTTAAAACTGTTACAGGTAAAAGATAATTTAATTACAAATGAATGTGTTTATAATTCATATACCTATTATTTATTAGTTTGTATTCTTGATTATTGTTTGCAGGTGTGTCAGTTAATGAATCTTTTCTCTGTTATCAAAAGGCATTATTGGCTGGTATAAAAGTTGTCAGTGCTTTGCTACAAAATAAAGTATTGCTTCATAAAATACTTACAAAAGTAATAATGCTTAATGGAGAAAATTTATTCCAAGTCATACTTTTTAAAGCTGTACAACCCTCTCCTATAAAACCTCAATATTTAAAAAAAGAATTAGAGGAAGCAGCAATAAATTTAACCCAATACTTAACGGTTGATACACAATCCAGTTCTGTACGACATTCTAAATGGTCAAAATATTTTTCAAAAAGCACATTAAATATGTTACTAGCACAATTATCTGATATGGGTTTCAATAAACAATGTGTATTTAGTGCTATTGAAGCGCATGGTTATACATCTTTGGATGCATTAGTATCCTTATTAATGGAAGGAAAGAATGAAAGTTTATCAGATATCACTGACACTTTATCATCATATGAAGATTTCTCAGATAGAGATGAATCTTCAACAACAGAAGAATATGCTGAAAATGTAAGTTTTTAGTTTATCGTATATGTTGTTTACAATATGATTTAAAAAATGTTATTGTTTTATTAAACAGCCAACAAGTAATGAAAAAGTAATATTTAAAAGACGAAACGATTTTGACAATGTTGATGGTTATGCAAAATATATGCAATATGCTGTTGATGTAGGCATGATTGTACGCTGTTGTAGAGAATATGAAAGTATTGAAGTTGGGTGTGAAGGTAAAGTTGTAAAATTAGTGAGAGATGGAGGATTACATGATCTTAATGTCAAGGTACTTTTAAAATTATGAAGATAATGTATTTTATTTATTGATCAGAAATAAAATATTTAAATATAACTATTAAATTAATAGGTTGAGTGGAAGTCTATTGGTATTGTTTATTGGGTACGATACATTCATATAGAACTGGTTGATTATGGAACTTCATGCGTTGAAACTGATTCAATATTCAATAATAAATTCATAGATAAAATAAAAATGGCTAATGACTTTATTGCAGGTAACAAAATAATGATAAATTTACTTATTTAATTATTGTTTTAATCAATTAATCAAATCAATTCTGAATTACAAGTCTCATCTACTGTGCGTGATTTAAGTATTTTGTTGTCTTCTGATCTTACATTCAATGCTTATATCAACGTTATCTATGACAAAGCCTTACGGGCAATTGGCTTCATAAACCGAAATTGTTACAAATTTAAAAACATCTATTGTCTTAAAGTGTTATATTGCTCTTTTATTAAGTTCATATTAGAATTTCCGTCAGTAATTTAGAATCCTAAACATTACCTAATTGCCAAATTTTAAAAAAATCAAACAATGTTTTTAAGGATGATGGCATACAGATTAAGTCAAATGAATATCCTCCTAGATACTTTGGCTATAGAATTTGCCTCTAAAACCTTCTATATAATGACAACTTTTGTCCATAAATTAATAAAGGGTAAACTGCTCAGAATTTCTAACAAAGATAAATTTTAAAATTCAAACATTCATCTCAAAAAATAATCGCCCATTTTTAGTAGCACAATGCTCTACAAATATAATTAAATATAGTCCAAAGTATCGCCTTTTAAATGCTTGTAACAATGTACCTAACTTTGATTTTTTTTTTTATCTACAAATTAAATTAAGGCATATAATAATCAATACTAGTTAATCTACATGAATCTATTGTATATATATTACATATTTGTTTTCATTTTTTCTATTTTTTCTTTTTTTGTATAATTTAATATTCAATATTTAGATTTACATTATATAATCTTTTGTGTAACTGTACTCTACTCCTTTGGGGTGTTTAAACTTTAAATAAATAAATAAAATTAAGTTTTTTCTTTAGATAAAAATATAGTTCTATCCAACTATCCTGAAAAAGAAGAAATGTCTGAATTCCTATTAAAGTGTACTTCTACTGCTGTAGAAAGTGTACTTCCAAATTTATTTGATTGGAAAGCAGATAATTATTGGACTAGTGAAGTTGCCAATGGAAATGTAAGTTTTTAAATACTTCCATATAAACCATTTTTATGGTTTAGATCATAGTTGCTCCTTTATTTTTCTAGCATTGGATCAAATTGGAGTTTCAACCAAATATAGTAGTTCATTCATTATTATTAAAATTGAATAACCACAATGAACGTTTTAATCCATTATTTGTGATAGTGAATATTGGGTCCAATTTTAATAAAATGGAAGAAGTTAATCGTGTCATGATAAATTCTTCAGACAGGATTTTGCAACTTTTGCATTCAGTAAATAAGGTAGTGTGAAATTTTAAATAAAAGTAATTTAGAATTTATTTAGAATTCTCCATGTAATATACTAATTTTCTTAAAGTAATAATCTCAATAGAAATAAATGTTAATATGAGTAACATAAACAAAAATAACATAACATAAAAGTTAAAATAAAATAGCGTAGAGTTCAATGTAATTGTCAATTATGGTGTTACATATAATCTAGTCTAATCCTTATTTACAAACTTATGTCCAAGGTAATATTCATTCTCTGTGGTCAATATAATAAAATTCTTCATTTCTCCTTGAAATTTTCTCTTAGGATAATCCAATACAATGTACTCTATTGGATTTAATTTCCACAATCACAAACTGGATTATTCCTAAGCTTCAACCAGTGCATAAAAAAACACATCTTCCATGACCTGTTTTGAGTCGATTTAGAGACACCTACTCTTGGCGAAGTAGTTTAAATCCCTCCATAGGTGTAGGATCATAAACCAAGTTAGCATTCTTGAGTGTAAGACTGTTCCATACAATACGTCATTCCATAATTGAATTAATAATAGTTGTTCATAATTGAAGTTTGTCTGAATAAGGCGTTGAGCCTTAGTGACCTAAGGTAGTTTCTTTGACCTGTGGGGTGTTACTAAGCATTTGAGATAACATAAATATTTTATTAGATCCTGTTTAATAATTATTTACCAAAGCATCCTTTCTTTTGATGTTGGTAGGAGTGATATTTGCCAGGACCAGGAGTCTCTACAATGTGTTTGACCTAAATGCTTCACTTATAACTTGCAAGACACTGTTTAATTGTACATCACTCTTTTTGATGTGTTGGTTATTAAGTCAAAAACCTGAGCAGTATTCAGCAGTAGAATATACTAGTGCTAGAGAAGCAGTTTTGAGTGTATCTGATCCTCCCCTCACTCTATCCCTGCTAATTTTTGTAACAAATTTACTCTTGATCTCATATATGAATTTACTAAATTCTTTTTAAAAGTTAAAGAATGATTCATGGCCTATATACTTGGGTGAAAGATAACGATTTACAGCTATACTATTAAACTAAACCTATAGTTCTTGATCCACCTGTCTGTTATAGAGATAGAAAACACTTACTTCTGTTTTGGAAAAATTGTGATTTATAAAATTAAAAAATTCAGAATAATTGTCAATAAATTTGTTTTATATTAGTTGATTTCTGGGTTACTATTAGGAAAAACACGACTAATATTATGCTGCTCAGAATCATTTTTGATTGCAATAATTTATAATTACTTTCAGTATATAAATTAAATAACTCTATATTATATACTTTTAAACTTCCCAACTACTTCAGTGGCGTAAAGTATGTCACACTTTTTTTTAGTATTAATTGTCATAGAAATAAGTTGGATATTCTCTATGTCTAATTGTTGTTTTTATTAATTATACTAATATTATTATTTAATTTCAGTGTCATAAATGTATTGAAATTGTATTGCGTACTTCTAAAAAAATATGTGTTATAAGTGCATTAAAAATTGATGTTGTATTACTTGATCAAGAATCTGTTATAAGTTCCTTTATGCCTCAATTTGACTTTGATCAAGTAACCAAATAATTTAATTGCTATTTGTTTTACAATTAATAATTATTCTGAAAATATTTTTCTAATTATTATTAATTAATAATTTACATTATTCATTTATCATATGTGTCTATAGGAATTTCCACCTAAACAAGAACAAGATTCTAAAGTTAAAATAGATTTGGAGTATTCTGTTTATGTTTGGGGTTTAAATGATAAAGGGCAACTTGGAGGAATGTTTGGATCTAAAGTAAAACGGCCAACATTCAATGAAGCACTTACTGCACTTAAACCCATTCAAATTGTTGGAGGTTCAAAATCATTATTTATTGTTTCAAATGAGGGGAAGGTAAAATTATAATAGATTGTTATTTGTTTGTTTAATGTTTTTACTGTAATCATATATTATATTATAGGTATTTGTTTGTGGAGACAGTAGTGGTGGTCGACTTGGTATACCATTTTGTGGTAAAGTTTGTTCACCACGACAAGTATCTGGTCTTAGCCAATTTTGTATTAAAGCTGTAGCAGTGCATTCCGGGGGAAAACATGCAATGGCATTGTCACTTGATGGAAAAGTAATTTTTTTGTGTTCATTATAACTTATAATTCTCATTTTTATGAAAATTAAATTAAATTAAATTAATTAGGCACTAAAAGCTTTTTTTTTAAAAAAATTTTTAAAAACATTGGCAACTGTAAAAATTTAAAGCGTGGTACCTGTAAGTTTTTTCTGTCTTAAAAACTTACGAAATAACAAATTTACGTTCATTAAGGACAAAATTGTGCTACTATAGCATGAACACTGATAGTATTTTAAAAGGTCTTTAAAATACTGACTTAAGTTTTTAGGATCTACCATAAACAATGACCGTTTGATCGTTTAAATTTCTTTTATCATTTTCAATGTTTTTAAGTAAAAACTTAAAAACAAGGAAATAGTTATGAATTAGTATGTATGTTAGTTATTATTATTTTAATTTGTGTAGGTTTTATCTTGGGGCGATGGTGATGACGGTAAACTTGGTCATGGTGATACCTTTACTTTAGATACACCAAAAATCATTGAAGCATTACTTGCTAAGAGAGTATTTTACATAGCATGTGGTAGTGCTCACAGTGCAGCAACTACTTCTGATGGTGAATTATACACTTGGGGTCAAGGACTATATGGTCGATTAGGACATGGTGATGAAACTTCTCAATATATTCCAAAGCTTGTAAATTAATACATTTTTATTATTTTCAATACAATGAACACATACGTGTGTAATATTTTATGTGTGTATATTACAGGTTAAAGAATTTGTTGGAAAACATATTGTTCAAGTAGCTTGTGGAAGTCGAGATGCTCAGACTCTAGCTTTAGACAATGCAGGCAATGTATATTCATGGGGTGATGGTGATTTTGGTAAACTTGGTAGAGGTGGAAGTGATGGCTGTTGTACCCCACAAAAAGTGGAAAGATTAGTTGGACACAGGGTTGTGCAGATAGAATGTGGTGCTCAATTTTCTGTCGCATTAACTGCGACTGGTCAAGTAAAATAACATTTTTATTTGTGTACATATGTAATTGTTTTATTATTATTATTATTATTATTATGTATTAGGTGTGGACTTGGGGTAAAGGGGAGTACTACAGATTAGGTTTAGGTAGAGGTGAACATGTAAGAAGACCAACTCTTGTCCATCAACTAAAATCAATTACAATTGATCAAATTTCTGTTGGTACATTACATTGTCTCGCTGTATCAACACAAGGAGAAGTAAATTGTGTTAATTTGTATATTTTTATTTTAATACAAAAAATATTTATATCTATTACACTTTGTAATATTAATAGAAATAATTAATAAATATAATTTCAGGTTTACTGTTGGGGTGATAATGATCATGGACAACAAGGCAATGGTACTATAGATGCTAATCAAGAACCTAAAGTGGTTATAAATTTTAGTAACATAAAAATTAACCGTGTTGGTTGTGGTTCATCCCAATCTATTGCCTGGAAATGTTCTGAACTACCACTATTTATGTCTGATGAACCTGTGAAATTTACTCGAGTTATAGACTCTATGGGAACGGCAGCTCTAAGTAAGTATATATTCCAATTTTGTATGGTATAGTTACACATTTATTAATGTGGATTATTATTTATCATATATTAAATTTGGGTTTATTAATATTGATTAATAGATGAAAATGTTGAGTCTAAAATTAAAATTGACTGTGATCAAAATGATCGTGAAAAAGAATCACTATCAAGAACTATATTAGCATTAGATACCGCTGCTGCAAAACAAAATGCTCTTCAACATGTTTTGAACGCCTTAAGAATTAGTTTAGCTCGAGAAATTGTGCTTGCAGCTCTTTCATCGTCTTCTTTTGACAGTAATGTATCCTCTATTAGCTTGATAGAACATTCATTTTTAATTATATTATATATTTCCAGATGTAAATATAAATTATGAGATAATACAGTCAGATCAAGGAGGTGGTGAAGCTCCAGCTCCAGTTTTAGAAGTAAAATCCTTGTATTTCATAAATAAATGTATTTTGCATTTATTATTAAAAATTAATTAAATTAAATATATTTGTGTATAATAATTGTAGAGTATTGCGGTAACTCCAGATAGCACAGAAAATTCATTACAAATGCCATCTTCTTTAACTGTGTCAACAAGTAGCACATTGTCTTCTAAGGCTACTAATACAAAGTCAATGGTGGCTGCTACAATAAAATCAAAAGATCAAGTATTTAATATTTTTCATTATTGTTATAAATTTCTATTTAAATTTAAAAAATCGATTAGGTTATTGGATTAAATGATTTATCATTGCTACCTCTCAAACCGATTGATAGTTTTTTAAATACATTGAATGAAAAAGATATCAGACTGTTATTGGATTTGACAAAATTAGCATCAGTTCATAGACTTGGGCCAACTGCAGAATCCGTTTTGATTAACACATTTACTTGTAAAAAAAAAAAAAAACACTAATTATTTATTTTTTTTTAATTTTATTATTTGTATTTTTAATAATGATACATAAAATAATTATTTTACAGCTTTTTTACATTCAAACAAACATAGAAAACTTGTGTTGGAATACTTTGTATCAGAAATGGAGACTATTTATTCTCATTGCTCATTTCTAGTGTCACCGCCCTCCCAACATATTGTGCAAGAGAGTACTCATCCTTATCACGATGAAACCTATCTTTCTGGATATGTAAACATACCAGGTATTTATTAAATATTGTAGTATTTAACATTTTAATGATAAATTAAAAAAAGCTGTCTTAGGATAATGGAGACGGGTACAGCTACTGTTGTAGGTGAGAAGTTGGGAAGTTAGGATATAGAAGGGAAATTAATTTATACCTGTAAGCAACAATAAACAATATATAAATGTCATATTATAGTAAAAAAATTACACATGCATTTTATATTTTCTTTAATAATTTTTTAATATTTTATATATTTTCCTGTTTTTCCTAAATTTTTTCCATTTATAAGGGAAAGCTCCAGGGGAAATCAAAAAATAATCTCCCTAAAGTAACACTTTAGTCAGATTCCCTTTCAAAAAATGGTATTATTGTAAATCGGGGCAAAATTGCTGGTAGGAACATGGTCCACAGAAAAAATAAAATAAAATAAGCATCATTGTACAACCAAAATATTCCTTGCTCCACTCAAAATTTAAAATATTTATTTTAAACAAATTTCCAAGATTTCCAAGCCAAATATACTTTGCTTCATGGGTGTGTTACTCTTGTTGTTAGGAAGCTGGGAAGGTAAAATATATAAGTTAATTTGATTTAAATATGTGCAACAATAACTCATTGCTAACAAAAAACAGTTTTGAGCAAATTTTAGTTGAACATACTTTTATATATTTAAATTGAAAATTGTAATAATTTGTAACTGCAAAATAAATTACAATTGTCTATATTAAATTTAGATTCTGAGCAGATTGTATTGGTTTTACAATAGTGTTTATTTTTTCTTTGCTTTTATCTGTGAACATCTTTTCAAAATTTGTTACCATTAATCACCTTTAAAGTTGATGATTGGTTCAAAATCTTTGTCAAAAATTTGTTCATAGACAGGAAAAATGTATACATAGTAAAACTAATGCATTTATTACTACCCTCAAAATACAGTACTCTAAGATATATGAATAGGTTTTTGATAAATCAGAGTTCAAAAGAACAAAAACCAAAATTTAATATTATAAGAACTTTCAACATTTAAGTTATTGTATACATAATGTTGAATAATACTTTGTCACTAGGTGCAATTGCTTTATATATAGAATTCAATCAGAATTGTTCAACTGAAAAACATAAAGATACATTAACATTAATGGATGGTGCAGAAAATGTTATCAGTGTACGATCAGGAAGAGATACAGAATGGTCTATACCGTTATTCATTCAACGTATGTTATTTAAATGTATTATTTAATATTTATAAGTGATAACAAATATAAACTAAATTATAAGGTGGTGAACTTCATTGGAAATTTATGAGTGATAAATCTGTAAATGGTTGGGGCTGGCGTTTTGTTGTATATCCTATTATGTCTCTAACAAGACAGAGTGGTACTGATCGTGAAGTACTTTCCAGACCTTCTTTAACAGTTGTTCGTAGTCTATTACATATATGTCTAAAACGATGTGAAAATGAGGGAGTTATTAGGCGATTAACTGTTACATTGATGCTGACGTTACATTTAACTACTCTAGGTATGAATAATGATATAATATTATTTTAAAATTATTAGTTATATTAATATTTGAAATAATATGGAATAGGTCACGAAGAGAGAATTTGGTGTATTAGTATACTAAGTGAGATATTTAGTAGTTACCGAGATCTGGCCCATGAATTGTTTATTACACCATATGGAGAAGGTGGTATAGCTGATGTACTTGTACGCACTGAACGTTTGATGTTTAGGCAGTTTGATTATGAAGAAGTATCTGTAATCTCTGGGAAACAACTTTGTTATTCTGAATATTTTAAAGTATATATTTTATTATACAGTCTAAAATTTCTATTTAAATAATATTATTTATATTGGTTTATGTTTATTAAAGGCTTTAGTATATATGATGAAGTGGGTAAATACAAGTTTACGTAATTGGCAATTTGACGCCTCATGGTTTGTTGATTACTGTTTTGGTATTGATGTGGCAAGTGCTCTGATTAGTCGAGACAAATTCTCAGAAGAATTTATTAATCAAGTACATAGAAAAATAGAACGCATTGATCTAAACTATAAAAAGAAACATGAAAATATTTTTATCAGCAACAGAAAGTTTACAAAAGAACATGATGAACAACTGTTACAATGGTTAAACAGGTAGGTTGTGTTAATTCATTGTTGATAATTTATTTTGTGAACTTCAAAAATTATTTTATTATTTATTACCATTTAGTAAACCTGAAGATTGGAATTTAACTTGGGGAGGAAGTGGTCAAATTGTATATGTTTGGGGTCATAATCATAGAGGTCAACTTGCATATATGGATCCATCTCAAATAAAAAAACCATTGTTATGTGATTCGTTGTCAGCTTTAAAGCCTAATCAAATTATTGGAGGAGAGCAAACTATGTTTGCAGTTACTTCTAATGGAAAAGTATACGCATGTGGTATGTGGTATTTATTAAGTAATTTATTGACTCAATAATTCTATATAATCATTTTTGGATGTATATATTTTGTATGTCTAGGATATACTGAATGTGGACGTCTTGGTATCAGTCCTCGTCCGAGAACTCCTTATATTGTTACTCCTCAACTTGTGCAAGGTCTTGATCACATTATTAAGGTAATTTTAAAAAAAATGTCTAAATACTTAGTATTGAATCATAACTTATAATTATTTTTATTAAGGTGGCTGTAAATTCGGGGGGCCGCCATTGTTTAGCATTATCATCTAATGGAGAAGTATATGCGTGGGGTGATGGAGATGATGGAAAACTTGGTCTTGGAAACAGAATGTTAGTAAATTTATATATTTGTTATATTTTCTTTAAATAAAATACCTGCATTTTTATAGTTCACATTTCAAACCACAACTGGTGCAAAGTTTGAGTGATAAGTGTATTATAGACATTGCTTGTGGTGGTTTTCATTCTGCGGCAGTTTCACGTTATGGTCATTTGTATACTTGGGGAAAAGGACGATATGGACGTTTAGGACATGGCGATTATGAAGATTATTTATGTCCGCAATTGGTATGATACATTGTGTAACCATTTTTAACATAGGTAAATATTGTCTAATCTTATTGTTTAGGTTAAAAGTTTAATAAACTACCATGTTATAAAAGTGGCATGTGGTAGTGGAGATGCCCAAACACTATGTATTACTTCAGACGATAATGTTTGGTCGTGGGGTGATGGTGACTATGGAAAACTTGGACATAATATTTCAGAATCGTGTAAAGTATGTAATACTAATTCGAAAAATAAAAACAAATCCCTTAATGCATTTTTTTTTTCTATTACTGTTTGTATATATTAGTTACCTTGTAAAATTGAATCACTGTCAGGTAAAGGTATTATTCAAATTGATTGCGGATCACAATTCTCAATTGCGCTGTCATCAAATGGAACCTTATACACTTGGTGAATATTATAAAAATTGAAAACAAATTATTATTACTTATTTTCATAAATTGTATTTATACATTTTAATATTCATTGTAAAGAAAAATATTTTAATTTGTTTAGGGGTAAAGGAGACTATTTTAGGCTTGGTCATGGAAGCAATGAACATATTCGTAAACCAAAACCAGTTAGTGGATTAAATGGAATGAAAGTTATTCAATTTGCCACAGGTTTAAAAATTGTTACTTTCTTAAAACAATGCCACACACACTCACACATGTTGTTTCTATCTTAGAACCTTATAATTTAGCAAATTTGCATTCAGTAAAACCAATTTTGTGCTGTTAGTTTTATTATTCAAGTGTATCTTAAAGTAAGATCATTTTATAAATTTTCCTATCATAAAACTTTATAATAAGAAAATTAACTGTATGGTTTTTTTGTTTTTGTTTTTTGTGATGTTTTAATTTTTAAATGGGTTATAAACTTTTTTAATTGTGATATCTTGCTTAAAATTTAAAATGCCAAAAAAAATCACCTTACTAACAAACAATGTTCCTAATTTAAGTTTGATAATAGGTCAATTCATTCTAATATTTAAACTTTCAGCATAAAATCAGTTCTATTGTACATGAATTTACTATGTATAATTCTATTATTGGTATATTAGGATCACTGCATGTGTTAGCGTTAACCGAAGATGGAGAAGTTTATGCCTGGGGTGATAACGATGAAGGTCAATTAGGAGATGGTACACTATACCCAATATCAAGACCTCGTCCTATTGCTGCTCTTAAGGTAAATTAAAATTCAGTTACCCAATTATGTTATAACTAATTAAAATAAGTTTACATTTATTAATTGTCTAATATCAACTGTTGCCCGAATATTTATTTATCCTAATTATCTATTAAACAGGGAAAGTAATTAATCAATTTTAGAAAAGTAAGAAAAAGTTTACATTTCTTAGGCATTGTGTACAGTGCCTAATTCAATTAGTCAAAGTAGACTCTTAATTTAAATAAACATACAAATTTTAGTTTTCTTATATACTATTTGCCGTTAGAGCACTATTGGGTTACACCCAAAACTTGTTCATTATTGCGCATTCACGTCACTATTCCAGCGTGAGAGCTTCGCGTTATATGCTGTTGTTTTCAATACGACCAATATTTGCAATATTGCAATATTTTTGCACTGTACTCAGCTATTGTATCATAATGTCCAAAATTAATATTTCACCCATAACATGTATTATATAAAATATAGATTAATATGATTTAAATAATATATTATAATATTGTTGTTGATATTTTAGGGAAAACGCATTCAACAAGTTGGCTGTGGATCTGCTCATTCATATGCGTGGGCTAGTGATGAGGCTTGTCATATAGAAAATTCTACTCCAAAATTAATACCTTTAGAGTATGATTTATTACAGGATTTTGATTTAAATGATTTAAGAAATCGATTGGTACTGTTACACCATTTCTCAACTATAGTTAATCAAACTCTATTATTATTTTTGCCAATCCGTGGAGAAATTAGTTTAGACACAATTCGATCATACATGGTATTTCCAGTGAAAGAAAACATATTTAAAAAAGTATAGAAGATTGCAATATAGTTAGTTATTATAAAAAATATAGAGATTGTAATATTTGTAATTTAAATTCAGGTTCTTCAGCTAACGATGGTGAGGGAACAGCGGCACGGCCCAGTTTTTGAATTAAATAGAATTAGATCTCGTAAAACACGAAAATCAACATGCAATGATTATACACATACAGTGTTTGGACAAATGGTGACTAATATGGACTTTTTAGATGAAGATTCTTTATTTTTGTATCATCGTATATGGAAAGTTCAGTTTGTTGGTTAGTGTATTAAGTAATATTAATTTTAGTTCATAACTAATAAAATAAATAGTTTATTATTTCATTATTTCCCTGTGTTGTATTGATACAGATGCATTATTACAATTATATATAATATATTACAATATATTTGCAGGTGAGAGCGTTGATGACTTTGGGGGTGGATACAGTGAAAGTATTGCTGAAATGTGTGAAGAACTACAAAATGGATCTTTACCAATATTAATACAGACACCAAATGGCCGAGAAGATACTGGTACAAGTAGAGATTGTTTCATATTTAACACATCAGTTACAACTAAATTACACATGAAAATGTTTGAATTTCTAGGTAAGAATTATTGTGTTTCTTTAAACTGGTAAAATAATACTAGATACTATAATTATACAAGTTCAAAAATAATTTAGGTATTTAGCATATATATATATATATATGTTAATGGCAAAGTGTATATTGTTAGAGCTCTATATAATAAAAAAAACCAGCGTTTATATTGCATTATTTAATTAAATAAATTTCCTTGGAATCATACAAAATCAATGGGTATTATATAAAATAGGTAGGTATTATTATTATCCAATAGTATTGATATTTAAATTTAGTTTTTACAAATATAAAAATAAAATAAAATAGGTTGTTTGTTGTTTTGTTACAAGTCTAAATTAGAATAACATTATCTCAATAATGTATCTTGTTGTTAATTATTAAATGATGACATTTCGAATAAGACTGAACACTGAAATAAAGAAAATCCCTATACTGTATACAGGGTGATCAACATAACACGAGGCACTCATTATTTTGGAAAGTATTAATTTTGTGTTTGTTTTTTAAATCATTTGAAAAATAAGTAACTCTAAAATGTTACTCTACAGTTACTTTTTGTCACCTTTATTTTGAGGGGTACAATCAATATCTACTTTTGATTTTCAAATGGCAACCTGCACTAAAAAATCCATAAATAGATAAGAGTATTAATTTAAATTAATTTTGATATAGAAATTTCTGATTTCTGTTAACCTGTTGACGATATATTTCACTTTTAAGTGTAGGTAGGGGAAGAGTGGTGGAATCTTATTAAAATGTCGTGCACAAATGATGCACTACTACTTTCCCTCCTCCAAAACTTTAAAGTGGAATACCTTGTTAACGGTTTTTTATAAAAAAATTAAAATTTCAACAGCAAAATTGATTTAAATAAATACTCTCTCTATTTATAGAACATTAACTTTAAGTTGCAATTTAAAAATCAAAAGTAGATAGTGGTTTCACATTTTAAAATAGTGGCAATAAAACAAATATTAATATAGTATTTTAGAATTCTTAAATGATCTAAAAAACAAATTTCAAAAAAAGTTTATACTTTCCAAGATAATGATTATCCCACATTACGTTGATCTCCGTGTATAGTTTATAGTAATTCATAATAGATGTGCTGAAACAACATTATGCCAGTTTACATTATTATGGTATCTGTAAACAAAATATAATTATTTATGTTTTAATACATATTGATTTTATATAATTCTTAGGCTTTTCATTTAATTAAATAATATATTATATACTTCTTTAAAATGGCATTGTATTTGTAAAATACCTAGGCATTATATTTAACTGAAATATTGTACACTTTGCCAGTAAATAAGCTATGTTATAATAGTTTTTAAAATTGTATTAATTTACAATTACTATTACATGATGTACTAGTTCTTGCCCGTAAACAAAAAAACAACATTTAAAGTTTATTATTCTTGTAGTATCTTTTTTAAAATTTAAATTAATTAAATTCGCTCGCATTTATCATTTAACACAAAAAATAAACTAAAAAAAAGTTTTTATTGTGTACCTAAGTTTATCTGATAATTAATGCTTTATCAACAGAAATTTACAGTAAAATACAAATTAAATCATAACTGAGAGAAGCAACAGTTTTCTTTTTTTTTTTATTTCGTATGGCATGAGTCTCAAACACATAATACACTATTCACTTTCTAACTGTAACAAATATAGAATAATAAAATAAAACAAAATAAAAACAGAACATAAGGTTCTGGTAGTACACATATAGCTGTTAAATATATTATATAAATTGTAAAATAAAATAAATCAACATATAATAATATTGTTATAAATAGTAGTTAATTATAAGTCTAAGTCAAGTTCTATTAGCCATTTTATTGCCTCTTTGGTAGCTTTGTGGATTCTTTCAGTCCCTTGTTCGAATGACCTCCTAGGACACGATTCCACGATGTGTTTCNCATATCTTCCCTGTCCTGTCCTGATCTGATTTATTGTTGTCCATTGGTTTCTTGGTAGTGACATGCCTTCTATTTTTTGGTCGGGTCTAGTAATAAGATCTTTATTTGTAACATGTGATTTTGTCCACTCTTCATTCCATAATGTACTACTACAAAATTGTGTGTTGATTAAGTTCTTTGCTGTTAAGCCAGGTGGTTTTCTGGATTTTAGTCTATTTATCGGTTTATCCCTTAGCATTTGGAACAGTAGTGATCCTTTGTAGTTTAGGCATGAAGTTATAGTATTGACTAGAGCCTCTTTCCTCCTGATGTGGGGTGGTGCTATATTTGTGAGCACTGGGAGCCAAGGTGTTTAGGTTGACTTTACCGTGCCACTAATAATCCTCATTGCGTTGTTGAGTTCAGAGTCTATCCGAGTCACGTGTGCACTATTGATCCACACGGGGGCTCCATATTCAGCTGTGCTATAAATAATAGCCATTGTAACTGTCCTGAGTGATATTGCATTAGCTCCCCATCCTGTACCTGCAAGCTTCCGGATGAGGTTCACACGAGATTTCACCTTCTTAGCACTATTTTCTATGTTTTTCTTAAAAGACAATATTCGGTCCAGTGTTATACCTAAGTATTTTGAAGTGAAATTGTGGTTCAATTGTACATTATCAAATTTTATATCTAGCGTTTTTCCAGCTTGTTTGTTATAAGGTGAAATGCACATACTTCTGTTTTATTTGGGTTTAGTTTGAGTCTCCATCTTTGGAAGTATGTGTTCAGGGTTGTTAAGTCTTTTGCCAACACCCTTTCACCATCCACCATCACCATTGATTGGNAGGCAATCGCAATATCGTCTGCAAACTGGAATATGGTGCCCCCCCGTTTTTGGTAGGTCGCTCATGTACAAGTTAAATAGTGTTGGTGCTAATACCGACCCTTGTAGAAGACCATCATTTATTTTCCGCCATCTACTTCCTTTACTATCTAAGAACACTCTTAGCAGGACAGTTTTCTTTACATATATACTATAGAATGTAAATTGTAATTTGTATTTTATAGCCATTAACTAATTTGCTATATTTGTTGTTTTTATGTTCAATAATGTAGTATTTGGTACAAATATAATATATGTAATATGTGTAAAATTATCTACTTTCTTGTATTACTTTTAATTATCTTTGTACAGGTGTATTGATTGGAATAGCCATACGTACTGGCAGTCCATTGAGTTTAAATCTTGCTGAGCCCATGTGGAAACTATTATGTGGCATGAAACTTATACCTACTGATTTAATTGAAATTGATAAAGATTATGTACCTGGTAATTTGATAATTACAATCTTAATTTTATCAAATATAAATTTTAATAAAATTCCCTATAGGATTATTATATATTCGAGACTTGGATGGAGAAGATGAATTTACAAACCTTGATATGCCATTTGGTACAACAACATCCTCTGGATGTTCAGTTATTTTAAGTACTGAACATAAAAATGTCACTCAGTATAATAAACATGAATACCTACAAGCCTGTTTGAACTTTCGGTATTAATTTTAAATAATTAACATCTAAAATAATTTTAAACTATATTGATGGTTTTTTTTTTTTTTTTGTAGACTTCAAGAGTTTAATAAAGCAGTAAAAGCTGTTCGAGAGGGTATGACTAGAGTAATACCAGTGTCCTTATTGTCTATATTCACAAGCAGTGAATTAGAAACCATGGTTTGTGGTTCACCAGAAATACCTATAAATATGTTACTTAGTGTTGTTACTTATAAAGGTATAAACAAATTGGTTATCATTTATTTAGAAATTGAGTTTCTAAAAATAATTTGAAAAAATTCAATATAGGTGTTGAAGCTCACGATAAGCTAGTGCAGTGGTTTTGGGAAATTTTGGGTGAATTTAACAATCAAGAGAGGTCTTTGTTTCTAAGATTTGTTTGGGGGCGTACAAGGCTGCCGAGAACTATTGAAGATTTCCGTGGTAGAGATTTTGTTCTACATGTGAGTTAAAAATATTTTTATTATTTCACACATTTTCTATGTTATTATTCTTTAATCTAATTGTGTTATAGGTTATGGATCGATATTCACCACCAGATAATTTTTTACCTGAAAGCTATACATGTTTTTTTCTTTTGAAAATACCACGTTACAGTAGTAAAGTGAGTAGAATCAATTATTTAAACCAATTCTTAATATAAATTTTATTTTATGTACATTAAGCAAGTAATTGCAAAACTAATTATTATAATACTTTTATTTGGTTTACAGGATATAATGAATGAAAAACTCAAATATGCCATTCATTTTTGTAAATCAATTGACACGGATGATTATGCAAGAATTGCATTACCCAGAAGTATGGATGGATCATACATGGATTCTGATAGTATATTTAGTGAAGATGATCCTTAAAAATATTTATAATAATAATTTTTTAGCATATTCATAATTATTATGATAGTTTTCTTATACCTATATAATATTATCATATTTTTAAATGTTTTCCATAAATCCATCTGTTGGATATAAATTGATCTCCTTATTTTAAATCTATAGTTTCCTATATATTCCTATATATTATCATTAGCTTACTTTTTATTTGTTTAATTCTATATGTCTATATTTACTTTTAAATAAAATAATACTTATTATCTAAAATTTGTATTTTACCTGAATAGATATTTACCATCACCATTAAAACTATTTATTAAGACAAACGGCTTAAAACCAAAATAACCGAAAACAGCTAAAATATAATTAAATAAATAGCTACCAGTGTCATATTCAGAGAGGAGGTATGTGCCTCTCTCCAAATATTTTCCTGGGTACAGTTCTGATAAAGTTTTTAACATGGCCGTTGTTGTAATTTGTAACTAATAGATTGTGATTTAAGAAGAGTGTAATGGTACCTTTTATTAATTTTAAAGTGTTTGCAAAGTACATTGTATTATTATTTGTTACTAATAGATTTAAATTACTGCTTACACCCTATATTTAAAGAATCTTTGCATAAGCCTATGTTTATAAACTCATTCATAACAATATTTTGCATTATAGTAGTTGCCTGCGATAAATAGATACGACATTATTATTTTCTCACAATAGTTTTTTGACTCAACGTTACTTATTACTCCACGATCAGAATTATTCATGATTTAACAAGGTAACTGTCATGTACGATTAATTCTAGTAGGTTTACCAAAAAATGATTTCATATTATTAGGAATATTTTCTATTCTATAATAAACCTTGCCGTGAAAATAAAATGATTATAAATACTAAATACTAATAAGCCATTTTATGGAGTTGTTCTTCAAGCCGTGTAGAATACCATTTTACACAAGTTCATAAGTTCATGTGTTTAAAAAAAAGATTTTAGAGACCCTCGGGCATGCTCAATCATTTAACTGTCGCAAGATGTGGAAGTACGGATCCGTACTCCGGGACAGGAATATTGACAGATTGTTGGTTCAGAAACGGCGCGGCGTGTGCGGGGTTCACCATTCCGCCGCCGCCGCGAACCTTCCGATCCTCGGCTTGATTTTTGTTCAATTGTCACGTACGTCTTGTGTTAGATACCTATTACAGGCTCTGAATGAATGGCGCACAAATCTGATAATTTTGGTAATGCGTAGTTGAAAATGTAAAAAACTATAAAGCGAAACGCCTGTATACAGTATGCACGTAAGCAGAGCGTTTACTGATTTGAAAGAAAGAAAAAAAATCCTAATTGTCAAACCGAAATTTAAAATGGCCAAATGGGAATAATTGATCAATTGCACTGATGTAATACAGTACCTACCGAATTAAAACGATGTGTTTTTACAATCGATTAAGTGTGACAATAGTATATTTATTATTTTTTTTTTTTTTTTTTTTT